ACACCGACGAGGCCAGGAAGCATGTCTTGAAGCTAATTTAATTGGTGTTTGTTTGGGGCACCTTGAAGCATCCAGACCAAGTGATCCACAGCCAGAACCGTTGTTTCTACAATGGCTTTGTCTTTGTCTTGGAAAGTTATGGGAAGATTTTATGGAGGCCCAAATAATGGGAAGGGAGGCAAATGCTTTTGAAAAATTGGCGCCTCTGCTTTCCGAGCCCCAACCTGAGGTGGATCTCAGAGTTCCTTATAATGTCATTCTTGTAGCAATGTAATTTCTGACCATAACATTCTCTTGCAGGTAAGGGCTGCTGCTGTTTTTGCCCTGGGTACCTTACTTGACATTGTGTTTGACTCTAGTAAAAGTGTTGCGGAGGATGAATTTGATGATGATGAAAAGATTAGAGCTGAAGACGCTATCATTAAAAGTCTCTTAGATGTAGTTTCAGATGGGAGTCCACTTGTACGGGCAGAGGTTGCTGTAGGTACGCAAAGCATGCAACTCTTGAACATTCATGATCGTGGGACTATGGGTTCCTAATTAGCGTCAGAGTCATTTAACTTCAAAGTAAAAAAATTCTAACTGAATGAGATTATTTTAAATTTGATACGTCTCCTACAATATTATTTATTGATTTATCATTTGCTGAATTTATAATTCCAGTCTACTTAGACATCCAAATTTATTTATTTGGAGAGACTGGTATTTCATAGCTCAATACAACCTTAAAATCATATTGTCCCTCGTTTAGAGAGTTCATATGTAGTTTTGTGCATTGCTAAATGTCTGTCTTTCTTCATTCTGCATATACACCTTGAAGCGTATCTTGTTTACTTTTTAAGTGTTTACTATTAATTCCCAAGTTTATCTGTTGTTAATGTCTCTACAGCTCTTGCACGTTTTGCCTTTGGCCACAAACAGCACCTAAAGTTAGCCGCAGCTTCATACTGGAAGCCTCAGTCAAGTTCTTTGCTTACTTCGCTCCCTTCAATAGCTAAATTCCATGATGCTGGGAGTGCAACCATTGTTTCTTTACACATGAGTCCTCTGACTAGAGCTAGCACTGATAGCCAACCAGTGGCTCGTGAAGCTAGGATCTCAAGCAGCCCTCTTGGCTCGTCTGGGCTAATGCATGGATCTCCATTATCTGATGATTCTTCGTTACATTCTGATTCTGGAATCATGCATGACAGTGTCAGCAATGGAGCTGTCCACCAGCAAAGACTGTTGGATAATGCTGTTTATACGCAGTGTGTTCGAGCTATGTTTGCATTAGCTAAAGATCCATCTCCACGTATTGCAAGTCTTGGGCGGCGTGTGCTTTCTATTATTGGAATCGAACAAGTTGTTGCGAAACCCTCGAAGCCAACTGGCCGACCAGGGGAAGCTGCAACGACTTCTCACACTCCTCTTGCTGGCCTAGCTCGTTCATCCTCATGGTTTGATATGCATGCAGGTAGCTGTTTATGTAGTGTTTTATGATCATCACTTGATGTGAAAGTTTTAATTTTCTTGCTTAATTCAGAAGGCTGTCTTCATTGAGTTTTTGTGAGTTTTGATCTTTCCCCGTTGTTGACGACAGGCAATCTGCCCTTAAGTTTTAGGACTCCTCCGGTCAGCCCCCCTAGAACAAACTATCTAAGTGGACTGAGGAGAGTTTGTTCGTTAGAGTTCAGGCCTCATCTGTTGGGTTCACCAGACTCAGGACTGGCTGATCCGCTTTTAGGCGCCAGTGGGTCTGAACGAAGTTTGCTTCCACTATCAACTATCTACACCTGGAGTTGTGGCCACTTTTCTAAACCGCTTCTTGGTGGGGCGGATGCTAGTCAAGAGATAGTTACCAAAAGAGAAGAGAAAGAAAAATTCGCACTTGAGCATATTGCAAAATGCCAGCACTCTTGTAAACATTTTTTTCTGTTATCTCTGGTTTGTTCGATATCTATACTAGTCACTTGAGTTTACTGACAATATTTTTCCTTGACCAGCTATTAGCAAGCTCAACAATAATCCTATTGCCAACTGGGATACGAGGTTTGAAACGGGAACAAAGACAGCTCTCCTTCACCCTTTCTCGCCTATTGTAGTTGCTGCAGACGAGAATGAACGGATCAGGTATGCAAGTTTCTTCAGAGCATAGCTAAAATTTGGATCTTATATCAACTTCTTTCGTTCAGGTTAACTTTCTGTTAGGCGGTGTCAGTAAAAGGTAAAAAATATAGATAACCTTCTGTTAGGCAAATTACAGTCTAGTTCCCCCAAAACAAAAGGTGTTCCCTTTCGAAGCTATGATTTATTGGATTCTCTGTTTAGTATCATCGTTTAGAAAACGCTTCCCTTTTGAAAATGTTCTTAAATTTGATCTTCTCCCTTCTGACATTTTTAATCGAGATGCCTCTACGCTAAGTATATTACTGTATTTTCCTCTCAGAGTGTGGAACTATGAGGAAGCAACTCTTCTCAATGGCTTTGACAATCATGATTTTCCTGACAAAGGAATTTCAAAGCTCTGCCTCGTCAATGAACTTGACGAGTCTCTGCTACTTGTTGGGTCATGTAATATTTACATCTCTTGCCACCAATTATTTCTGATGCTTGCAAATTGATTAATTATAGTCTGACATGAGCTTTTGGAATTTCGGGTAGGTGATGGGTCGGTCCGGATATGGAAGAACTATGCAACAAAGGGTAAACAAAAGCTTGTTACGGGGTTTTCTTCAATCCAGGGTCAGAAGCCCGGCGCACGTGACTTAAATGCCGTCATTGAATGGCAACAACAGTCTGGTTACCTGGTTTGTGATAGCTTTATTCACGCTGTGCAGTGTTTCTTCTTTTGTTTTCCAAGTAACGAAACCTAGTTTATTGTTGTTTATGGATTAATGGTATTTAACAGTATGCTTCTGGGGAGGTGTCAACAGTCACACTTTGGGACCTGGAGAAAGAACAGCTTGTCAGATCTATTCCCTCTGAGTCAGAGTGCGGAATCACAGCACTTGTAAGTCTGCATGACTAACTCTCTTCTTTATAACATAGAAACGCTCGAGAATGTCCTGATTTACGCCCGATCTATTATGATCTGTTCAACGGAGTTGATGAATCGAAGAAATAATATGGGGTTGCTATTGTCTGGTTATCATACTTTTCCTTGGTCGAAGATCTTTCCAGGATCTAAAAAAAGAGAGCTGGTCCTAATAGTTATTCCGAGAGTAAAATAGCATTGCGTTTCTTGATTGTCTGTTGGGCTGATCTTAGATTATTGTATGAAAACGAAATTATGTAGGAGTGTTGATCCTTAGCAAACGGTCGTTCAAACTTAGAATGAGTAAGAAGAAACTAACAATACCTCTAGATAGCCTATAAATACAGAACATGGGAATTATGCTTACTTTATGCTATCTTTGTAGTCTGCTTCTCAAGTGCATGGAGGTCAACTTGCTGCTGGTTTCGCCGATGGATCTTTGAGACTCTATGATGTTCGGTCACCTGAGCCGTAAGTTGCTTTACAGTTAATTCTCGTACAGCAAATTTGAACAAACACTCTTTAAATTAAAACGATGAATGACAGGACCAAAAAAGTTTTGAATACATCATTTTAATATCATATCTCGTTTTGAAGGCTTGTCTGCGCGACTCGTCCGCATCAGAAAGTTGAAAGAGTGGTTGGACTCAGTTTTCAGCCTGGACTTGATCCCGCAAAGGTTGCAAACTAAACTTTACGTCCACGTCTATATCCAAGAGTTTCTCAATTTTTTTGTCGCTTTCCCGAGGCCAATATGTGTTCTTTTTTTTGCTTTTTCAGGTGGTAAGTGCATCACAGGCCGGTGACATACAGTTCCTTGACCTTAGAACAACAAGGGACACATACTTGACGATTGATGCACACAGGGGTTCACTGACGGCCTTAGCTGTTCACAGACACGCTCCAATCATCGCGAGCGGATCGGCAAAACAGCTCATTAAAGTGTTTAGCCTTCAGGGAGAACAACTAGGGATAATCCGCTACTACCCGTCCTTCATGGCACAGAAGATTGGTTCAGTGAGTTGTCTCACTTTTCATCCGTATCAGGTTCTGCTTGCTGCTGGAGCTGCTGACTCATTCGTCTCCGTATACACTCACGACAACTCGCAAGCAAGATGAGTCGCACACCGTAAGTGGAAATGTTGCATTTTGCATTGCTCTTGTGACCAAAAAAAAAAAAAAAAAAAGCAAAAACCAGTCAAAGTCGGGGTAAAGTGGTTGTGGTTTATAGTATTCGTTAGCCTCCGAAAGAAGATCTAAGTTAACACTAATGAAGGAGGCTTCACCAAATAAGTTCTCTGTATCTCTTCCTATGCAAAGCACGTAGGTGTCTGTAAATAGTTCCCCTGTTTTGCTTTTCTTTTTTTTTTCGTTGTTGTTTTTTTTATTGTTATCATGTTTCCTTGGGTGTGTGATTTCATTTTCTTTTTTAATCTTAAATCTTTCCGTTTGCTAATTTGTTTCATGTGTAAAAAATGGTAAAAGTAATGGTGGAAAAAAATTTGCTTTTCGTGATATTATCACCTGTTTGTCGTTAGTTCAAGTTAATCTCGCTAAGATACAAATAATTCAGGTTGAATTTGGAAATACGATTGAATAGCTCACTTTTCAATTTTATGCTACACATATACGTTTGGTCTGTGCCATTTTCTTGCTTTATTATTGCAAGCGATAATTGAAAGATCTAACTACAAATTCAGCAACTAGATCCTGCATGGATACGGTAGTTGGACGATCATAGAGTTTTTTTCCTTATTCTTAATCCATAGCCATTGTTGGTCACATCTATGATCTAAATGAAAGTGTGAAGATTTTTGGTAGCACAATATGTGAAATTTTTGAAGAGTCCAAACATATACTCCGATTGAAGTAAAGAAAATAAAAAAATGGAAATTCAGATCATATAGAAGCTTTATGACGTATACTACTAATTAAAACATTTTACTGGCACCTGCAAAAAATGCTTTTCGTTTCGAAAAAATGTTTTTATTGTCGTCAAGATTCTTTGTACGGAGAATTAGAAGTTTCTTTTTCGTGAAATATGGCGTCCATGGCGATCGGCGTCAGCTTGTCGATGATGACAAGCGGGATAGGAGTAGGAGACGATGTTGCTCGAGTAGCGAGGACACTGAAGCTGAATCATAAAAAGTCACGGAGCGAGAGTACACGCAGGTTTTTGAGTATGAAGAGACGTCGTGGCTCAGGAGCTATACGAACCGTCTCGAAGTCGGTCGTTGCTGACGGAGACGGAGAAGAGAAGAAGACTCAGAAGAATCTGAGAGTTGGACTCATTTGCGGAGGTCCGTCGGCGGAGCGCGGGATTTCACTCAACTCTGCTAGATCAGTTCTCGATCATATTCAGGTGAGATTCCTTTCTTCTTTCCTCTTTAATCAGATGAGCTTGGATCTTCGATTTCATCAATTATTCATTATAATCCCCTTCTCGTTTCATTTGTGTTGGATGGTTTTGGTCATATCAGGGTAACGGTATAAGCGTGAGCTGCTATTATATAGATCCTGATCTCAGAGCTTTTGCAATTTCCCCCGCTCAGGTTTGCTTCCTTGTACTTACTGTATAGTCATTTCCACAATTTCTGCTGTATCTATCTTTTATTCCTCCTCTTCTTTTTTTTTTTTTTTTCATTTTTGGTTTGTGAAAACTTTCAGCTGTACTCGAATACTCCGTCAGATTTTGATTTCAAGCTCGGGAGGTGAGGTATATAAGGAGAATTCTGAGAGTCGATCATGGGACAACAAATTTTCATCCAAATTTAGCTGAGTGACTAGTTTGTTTCCTTCTCTAGTCTTGCACAGGGATTCTCTTCATTATCAGCATTGGCCGAGCACCTTGTCTCCGCTGTGGACATTGTCTTCCCTGTCATTCATGGTCGATTTGGTGAAGATGGGTGTATTCAGGTTTTTGTCTTGTACTCTTCTCTTGGTAAGTAGTTATTTTTACAGGAACCTTGATGAAATTTAGTAATTCTATGCAGGAGCTGTTGGAGAGTCATAACATTCCATTTGTTGGTACCGGATCCCGTGAATGCCGCCGAGCCTTTGACAAGGTAAATAATAAGAGTCTGTGATCAACGGATTGGTCCATCAGATATCCATTTCTACATCTCAATTAGTGTAGCTCTGACTGTATTCAGTGAACTATTTCCAGTATGAAGCCTCTTTGGAGCTCAAGGAACATGGGTTCATGTCAGTACCAAACTACTTGGTGCAGGTAGTGTATTGTCTCTTTGTCTGCATTCAGTTTGTACCTACTACTTATGCATAGACAAATCTTATCTATATTTCTAGCTAGTGATATCTTTCTTCTTAAAAGGGAACTGAAGTAGACGAAAGTAAATTAGCACAGTGGTTTACAGATAACCAGCTGGACCTCGAGGTGGGAAAAGTCGTGGTAAGCATCCGGGTAATTTCTCAGCCTGGTCATAGAGCATGTTGCCTAGAGACTCCACTTTCTCTTCGTTTCTTCTGTTTTCTTCTCTTCACGTCTGCCTGTTTCAGGTAAAACCAGCTAGAGCAGGATCAAGCATTGGTGTCAAGGTTGCTTTTGGCGTTAATGATTCAGTTAACAAGGCTATTGAGCTTATTCTTGAGGTATCCGTTATATGAACTTGGAAGTGAAAGCATGGAAATCTCTTATTTCTAGATATCTTCATGAACAGTTGCTCGTTTTTTTCTGTTGTCCGACAGGAAATTGATGATAGGGTTGTTGTTGAGGTGTTTATTGAAAATGCATATGAGTTCACTGCCATCGTCCTGGATGTGGGATCTGGTTCTGATTGCCATCCTGTTGTGCTGTTGCCCTCTGAGGTAATCACATTTTTAGTAGTTTTCTGAGTTTCACGGGTTCAGAGCTTGTGCAAAGATGTCTTTTTTCGGTCTGAAGTCAGTCTCAGCTGATATTGTAAAACTTAATCCTCAGTTATATTTTGCTCTAAATTGGAAGCAGATGCCAGAATTCTTTTTTTATTCATCTCTTTTCCATTGTTAATGAGTTGAAAATAGAGACCGGCTTTGGGTTATATTGAATGGCTCTCTACCTTAATGTCATACTTAAGTTCGTACATGTCCAAATGCTTATGTGGTCAGGTGCAACTTGAGTTCCATGGCAGTGGTGATCCGAAGGAAGATGTTATCTTCGACTACCGGAGGAAGTATCTGCCGACACAACAGGTAGTGAAAGAAACTTGATTCTTGCAAATTCCACTACCCATAATGAAAGGTGTGTCTAAAACACATTTTACTTTCTTTTATGCCCGTAATTCTGTATATGGTAAACGACCTTCTGCCTTTTTAGCTGTATTTAAGTGGTTTTTCTGCATTTTGAGCTCCAAATATTAGTAGCTTTACCCATCACAATGTGTCTATTAATACTAAACAGGTCACTTATCACACTCCTCCTCGTTTCCCTATCGATGTTATCAAAAGTATCCGTGAAGAGGCCTGTCTTCTATTTGAAAAGCTAGGTCTTCGTGATTTTGCTCGCATCGACGGATGGTATTTGACTCCCACTTCAAATTTATCATCAGCTGCAGATGAAACGATTGGAGGACGCAAGTTAGGGGATATTATGTTCACTGACATCAACCTGGTTAGCCTATTGCAATCTTTTTAGCCTTAGAATCTACCCCGAGCTGCTATTTGTACTTTGCATTGTTCTTATATCTTATAAGTAACATTCGGATGCATTTCTCAATTGTTTTTTACAGATAAGTGGTATGGAGCAAACTAGCTTTCTCTTCCAGCAGGCTTCTAAGGTAATTAAAGATTTTTTTACCATTGACGCTTATGTTAGAGATGCTCTTCAAGCTGGCCCCTACTCTGTTGAACTTTTCTTCTCATATTTTGTGAAAAAGTTTGTGATTGTACTCTTATTTTTTTTTTCCCTTAACTCGTACTTATAGTCTGTGCGCTAATAAAAAAGTTCTACGATTCACGAAGAATCATGTCTTTATTTTTCTCTTCCTAGAAATGTGAGCTACAGTGTATTGTTCATTCATTCCTACTTTGTCTCATCTCATGCATGCCTAGTTCATTCGAGCATTCAGGTTAGGTGTTTGTATTACCATACATGACTGGATTCTATTTAGATAATTTATTCTTACATTCAGGTGGGGTTTTCTCATTCAAACATTTTGCGAACAGTCATCCACCGTGCTAGCTCAAGGTTTCCCCATCTTACTTGCTATAATTATGGGTCTAGTCATTTACTCCAAGGGTCAACAACCCTGGAAACCTCCGGGGACATCCAGAAAGTGTTTGTCATATTTGGAGGAGACACTTCAGAGCGGCAGGTCTCCGTCATGAGTGGAACAAATATCTGGATTAATTTGCAAAGATTTATCGATGTAAGTTGAAAAGAATGCACCATTATGTCATGTGAGGTGTAAATGTAATCATGCATCTTATGAACCTATAATCTATAAGCTTAACCGCACGTGCAGCTACTTTCCCTGACTCTGGGATATTGTTGTTTACAGCTCAAAGTAACCCCCTGCTTGCTTTCCCCATCACGTAGCAACTCGTCGGGTGCATTTCGGGACAAAACTGAATCTGATTTGGACAGCAGAGAAGTCTGGTTATTACCGTAAGTATATTATCGGACTCCCAAGTAGAAATTAGATTTACAGTAGTCTACAGATAAATGCAAACGTTGGACTCAAATACAATTCCGAATTGATGTCCAGCAAACAAAGCTTATATAGAGTAGAACAACACCTAATGGCATTTAACATTCATGTATGAAACTATTTTAACTCTCCCCAACTTTATGCCTTGTCATTTCACATCACCAATGATTTTATTTCTTCTCAGCTACTCTGTTGTTCTAAGGCACACTGCTGAGGAAATTCGTGCAGCGTGCTTGGAAGCAATTGAGCCTGATCGGGCTCTATTTACATCTTTACTGCAGAAGCAAGTGATGGAGGATCTTATGGATGGTTTGAAGAATCAAAGCTGGTTTGCAGGGTTTGATGTAACAGACGGAGTGCCCATGAAATTTTCGTTGAAAGACTGGATCAAGCTCGCCAAGGAAGCTCAAGCAATCGTTTTCATTGCAGGTTAGCCTTCTAACTGAGAGACTGCAATTTTTCCTATTTTGTTCTAAGAGAGTGCTTACATTCTGTATGCAACTCACCCTTAGTCGCAATATCCTTTATATGCAGTGTTTTTGTGACTATACTTTTCAAATGCTATCTGACAGTGCATGGAGGAATTGGGGAAAATGGTACGCTTCAGGCCTTACTGGAGGATGAAGGAGTTGCTTACACAGGTTCGTTGCAACTTATGGTGCAGCATTCAAGTTTTTCTTTGATTCTCCGCGTGAAATATGTTCACCTGGTTGTTTTAAATTTTCTCCGGCGTTTTTATAAAAAAGGTCCAGGCGTACTAGCTTCAAGGACTTGCATGGACAAGGTTATGACATCTCAGGCTCTTAGTCATGTACGGTTACAAGTCAATATACTCTTCAAGCCAATACATAGAAAAACGTGAGTAGTACTCGGTTTAGCATAACAAATTACTTTTTTTTGCTTCTCGTAATCAACAGCTTTCAGAGTTTGGAGTTCATACCATAAGCAAAGATGTGAAGAGAACAGAGGATATAATGCATGAGACCGTCTCAAACATTTGGGATGAATTGATCACCATGTTTCGGTGTCTGACCCTGTGTGTTAAACCAGCAAGGGATGGATGCTCCACTGGTGTTGCAAGATTATGGTTATTCGTACTCAAAAATCTTTTGCCAATCGTTACCACTAAGTTTTTTCTTTTTTCTTTCTTTTTTTTTTGGGTGTGTGTTTAAAACCTTTGGGTTCTCCTGCAGTTGCTCTGAAGACCTTGCTGTATATGTACAAGCTTTGAAAGATTGTCTACCAAGGATTCCTCCAAATACTCTTTCTAAGGTAAAAACAAACAGTCATTCTATTAATACAACCTTGAGGACTTCATCGATAAGGCAGGATCATCAAATCCCTATCTCCTCTTCTGTGTAGGCTCATGGAATGATTGAGATGCCAAATCCTATCCCCGAGCTATTGATTTTTGAACCATTTGTTGAGACCGATGAAATCATAGTTTCATCAAAAGCCAAACAGCAGCTCTCTTGGAAAGGTAGGAGGCGGTGGGTAGAGATAACCGTGGGTGTAATCGGAAAGCGTGGGTCAATGCATTCACTGAGTCCTAGTCTTACTGTCAAGGAAAGTGGCGATATATTGTCACTCGAGGAGAAGTTCCAAGGTACTCCACTCGTCTTTCTTTGCTACTTCATGTCGTTTTCTTTATTTTTATGAGAGCATTAATCTTTACAATGGCATATGTAATAATATCTTTATTAGGCGGCACTGGCATAAACCTTACTCCGCCTCCACCAACAATCATGAGGTTTGTTAAAAACTTTTCTTTCTTATAAAGTTTGTGTTGTGGTATCATCAGAACATATACAAGATAAAGACACATGAGAAGAGTGAAGAGAGCATATTAAGTTCATAGAAGTTCTTGAAAATAGTTATGGCTTATGCGTATAGAAGCTGATGAGTTGTGTGATTTCAGCAAGGATGCTTTGGAAAGATGCAAACAAGGCATTGAGCTGATTGCTGAAACTCTTGGGTTAGAGGGGTTTTCACGGATCGATGCTTTTGTGCACGTTGAAACCGGAGAGGTAAGATCGAGATAATTGCTTTGCATTCTACTAATGTTTACTCTCATCTTGCAATCCAAAATTAATTGATGGGTTCTAACAAAGAAGTTGTGCGCAGTTGCTAGTTATAGAGGTGAACACAGTTCCCGGAATGACTCCTTCCACTGTATTAATCCAACAGGTGACTTTTGCATTCATATCTTTGGTTTGGTTTCTATTTGGTGTAGGAAGTTATATCTGAATTGAAAGAAAAAAAATCGTTTGTTTTGGTTTGGGTTTGTTTCTTATCGTAGTCAAATTGATTGTGATCGATTTTTGGATCATGTTTTTGTGGTCTTTAAATTTGTGTACGTAAAACTCTCATTGACACATTCTTAATTTTTGTTTTTTGTTTTGGGATTGGAAAATCTGAAGGCATTAGCAGAGCAGCCGCCAATGTACCCTCCTCAATTCTTTCGCACACTACTCCATCTTGCTACACACAGAGTCGAGTAAGATCTTCTTTATTCTATTTTGTTCCTTTTTTCCCAAGTTTAATAAGAAAAATCATTGTTGTAAATCCGCTGTCTTCATCATTTTATTAAAATTTAAAATTTAAAATGTGTATAGTGTAATTACCTTGGAATGTGCAGTATTGTATCATACGTCATATGGTAGGTTTTGCCATTTGTAACGTAACTTTATTTTCGTTAAGTTTACTTTCTCCATTTCTATTCCTAGAGACATTTCCACCCTAATTATGTTTTATTTGAAAGTTTTTTTTTTTAGTAAAAATGAGATTATACGAGCAGGCACCAATAAAAAAAAGAGACAACTAAGCAAAGCAACTTATGCAAAAGCAACTTGATAATAAAACGAATTGAATTTAGATAAGTTGATACAAAAGTGGAATCTCTAAATATAATTAGGAAGTAGGAAAATGGTGGTGGGTTTTACATACTACCGGCTCGTCCGGAAGTGGGTTTCTTGAACTTGGAGAGTTCAACAAGATCACCAAACAACTTGTCCTCTGGTTTCTTGTTCATAGGTTTCACCATTGGTGAATGATTAAGAGCCGAATGATGAGAAGAAACCTGGTAGGGGTTAGTATGGTTGGCTCCATTGTCTTGAAGAGACATTCCGTACATTTGTTGTTCTACAAGATACTGTTGTGGTTGGCCTTGAAGTTGTCCTCCGTAGCCTCCGTACATGGTATTAGGATTATTATAATGGTTGTTTGGGTTGTGGCCAAAGGGTGGCATGTGGCCTCCTGTCATTGGAGGGAGGAACATATTTAACATGTTGTTGTTGGTAGCATGAGGAGAGCCACCTTGAGGATTGTAACCGAGTGGTTGATGAGTGTGCGTGGTGATGACCACTTGAGTCACTTGCATCGGATGAGTAGGAGAGTATTGAGGGCTAGAGCTTGGAGACTGAGCTTCCCATGGTGGTGGAGGTAGTGCTAAAACATTGTTGTTTTGTCCACCTTAAGGAAATAAGACAACAAACCACTCAGGATTAGTATTCAGTTTTCTTCCCAAGATTGTATATATTAAGCAGAGTAGTAGATGAGTACCATAGTGAGGAGAAGCGGGCGGGCTAAAGGTAGGCGAAAAGGGTTGGTTTCCGTAGGCAGGAGATGATGGCTGTTGGGTAATTTGGAGATTCCAGACAGGACCAGATGACGGCCCAGCTGGTCCATAAAAAGATTGCTCTTGATGGACTGGTCCAAATCCATTTGAGCAGTGTTGTTGCACCATCTGATGATGCGACTGTGGATTCGAAGTTGGGGTCGAGCTTTCGCAGTTGTTATCTGATAACATGTCTATTAAGACGATTGAATTATCTGGCGTTGCTACTGGACTAGTTGGTTGTGGAGGTCCAAGAGGAACAAGAGCCAGTGAGTTCTCTGCATTCGGTGTCTCGAAGTCATCTCCACTAAGAAGATCTATTTTTGGACCATTGGTTGTAGGAGCCACAACACTACCATCTTTTGTTTCACTGCAAAAATAAGTTTAAAACATGTTAAGAATGTAATACACAACCTTTAGGTCTTTAAACTTTTAAATCCTAAAACCACTAAACCAACGCCTATGGTTAAAAACTACATCTTTGATTTAGTCAAGAGCGGCTTCACAAGTATCTTTCCTCTTCTAAAAGATCCATTGGAGAAAATAAAACATTTGATAACTAGAGCTGTTTCCTACCTTGAGCCAACATCTATGATCTGAGTTGCGTCTTTAGAAACTTCTTTTTTAGATTTTTCTTCCTTTTCTATCATCATGTTTCCAGAACCGATGGCTTCGTGCTTCGCAAGTAATCGCTGCAAATCGTCATTTAAGGCTAGGCCTTGGCAAAGCAACGATTCATCTCTGACACATGAACCAAAACGGGTATAGACTAATATATTCGTCAAAACTAATTGAGTTTAACAAAAAAAATTTGCAGGTAAAAGTTTAGGTCTTTACGATGTAGAGTTTACAAGGTGTACTACTCTTTGTTTATAGGTGCGACATTGGCTAACAAGATCTACAATAACCTCTTGCTTAAGTCCCTGCCAAAAATTAGAAAAAAAAAAAAGAAAAAGTTGTTATTCATATGGTAGAACCAATGTTACCAAAATGGCAAAATGTAACATATTCCTTCTACTCAGAATTTGGGTGTCAAAAAGATAATTACCTCTTTGTTGTTTCCATCAATTGCGTTCAACATTTCAGCTAAGACATCCATGATTCCTCTTGCATTTTGAATTTCTGTCAAACTTCAACAACAAAAAATGCTATTGTTATCAAGCTTTTAATTTCAATATTTCCTAGAAAGTAATATGCAGATAATTAAGGTAAACACCTCAAAGTTGGAAATTCCGACTCTGTTGAAGTATCAGTAGCTTCTTGTCTAGCGTTACGAGAATTCTGAGAATACGTTGTCGAAGGACCAGTTTGTCTTGAACTGACTGTGGTTGGAGGTCTTTGAGGGAATACAATTCCTGCACGCTACAAATAGATAAACAAAATAAACGAAATCCTAATTTTCGAACCATGCATGTCTCGGTCTCATTAAATATGGGGATGATACAACAAAAAGAGAAACAAACGTACCAACAATTCTTGGTAAGCTGCATAATATTGTGGATGTCTTCCTTGTGGACCTGAAAAGCTCTCTTGCCAAGTATCTATAAGTATCAATATCTTCTCCTTCACATGGATGTTAGGCTATAAGTGTAACAAACAACATTATAAGTTTGGTGTTACACACAAAAAAAATGATTATAAAATGTTAATGGATAAAACAATGTATTGTAGGATAGTCTGACCTTCTTTTTGACCATCTTCACCATCTTCTGAAGAATATCCTTCTCTGCAACTTGCATATGAGTAAGTTCCCCACAATTGTTTATTATTGTCTCTAGCAACTACAAAACCAAATATTCCAAAATATGTTTATTCTCTCATAATACAAATCCGACAAGGAAGAAAACAAGAGGAAATATTTTTGGCAAAAAAAAAAACAAGTAAATATCGAAAGAGCTTTATTCATTTATATAACAAACTTCTTATAGTCAGCCAAAAACAAAGGCGAAAACAATACTTCAAACCACTAAACAAAACCAAACCAAACCAAACCGAAACAGTAATTAATGGCAAATAGAACTTACAGTAAGAGCCAAGAGCTGAACATTGGAAGTCCTACTACTAAGCCTTTTCTTTATACCACTCACAACCTCTCTCGTTTGCCTACAAACACACAATCACTTGTCAGTTGTCATAAACAAATATTGGTAAAGAACCAAAAAAACATCAAATCCAAATGTGAAACATCCATATACGTTTAACATGTTAGGCCGTACCCAACAAAATTGATATCTTTAACTGAGCATCGGATTCATCACCGATCATATATAGAAAAACAAATACAAGTGAAAAAGGTGTTACCCAGGCTCATGATTAAGCATGTCGCATATCTCGAGGTTCATTGCCCAATCAGGACCAATAAGCATATCGCTTGTGGCTCTATCAACCAAGGGATGCACCATCTTTTGGTTTCTCCTTTCTGTCTTCTTCAAAACTCCACAATCTAAGACTAGTTTTTTTTGTTTTGTTTTTAAGGTTTTCTAACTAAAGAGCTATTTCCTTCCTTGTAATTTGCAAACAGAAATAATATGGCCACACTTGTAAACACCTTCGCTACATCAAAGCAGAATATTAAGGAACTAATTGACCTTTCATATTTTCTTTAAAATGTTTTTCTTCTTCTATTTGATTGGGCTTATGTGAAGAATAACGGGCCTAGACTGTTAACTTTATTCCGTTTTTCCTTCTAAAAAACGACACGCTAACCACGCCTTCAAAAGCGAAACGTCACGCCGTCTTAAAGGGTAATCTAACTTGGATTACATTCTGTTCTTTGCACGGAGATTTCCATTTCAGTGACTTCACATCTTTCCCTCTCTTTGGTGTTCTTCTCGTCGCCATGGACGATCTCTCTCTAGAGAAAATCGAGATTTCTGGTCCAACATTGGCATCATTGATTCAAAGAGCATCCTCTTCTCCCGGTAACGTCGACGGCTTGATCTTCGGCCAAATCCATCGGATCGTCTCCACTAACTTATCCGACGATTCTCCGGCGGAATCCTTCGCCTCGAGTTCCTCATCTGATAAAATTGTCGCCACCGTTACAAGCTTCCTCTGCTCTGGTAAAACTGTCTCCTTCTATGATCCGCTTGGTCGAGTTGACTCGCGTCGGATCGACTCCCTCCGAGTCGACTCGCCGGACCGTCTTCTTGGCTGGTTCTCCGCCCGCAGGAAAACCGCAAACCGTCCATCCATGCGAGAGCTAGCCGTCGCGTCATCTCTCTCATCTCAATTCCACCTACCGATCAAGGACCCGGAAAACCCTAAATCGACGAACATGGCTTCCTGCGTCTTCATCCTTCTTACTACGCCAACGACAGACCAGCTAATCCACACGCACGAGTACCGTGCGTACCAATTCCGCTACTCGAACCAACGGCTCGAACCGAGATCACTTGGTATAGTCAACATCGGACCGGCGTTTCGCGAGCATTACGGTTCGTTTAGTCCGAAATCTGGATTTCCACCGTTGATCTGCGAGGTGAGTAGCTCAGCCATGAACGTGGACCACGACGAAGGGTCTTTAAGTGCGATTAAACAAGCAGTGAAGGATCAGAAGGAGATCGATGCATTAGCAGATGGGTTGCAAGTGGGAAACTTGAAACGCTTAGTCGGAGCTGAAGCTGCCAACTACACAGGCGGGATTGAAGAAATGTATGAGAGAATGCTGGCTAAGGTCGAGAGCTTGGCTTTGGAGGTTGAGAAGAGCTCGGCTAGGGTTCTTGAACTGGTACAAAACAGCTAAGAATTCAAAATTCAAGTTTTGTCGATAGTTTAAGTTGCACAAAGTCTAAAGCCAAGAGATGAACTGGTTTTGTTCAAGCTATTGATTGTTGTATAGCAAAGTGGCACAGACAATATAACATCTTTGTTGGTTCTTTCAGGATAATCATAATAGGAAGCTGAGATACCGAGTTGCCAGAATCGGTCGATGAAGCTTTCTTGAGTTGCTGTTTTTTTTGGCGCCAGGTATTATTTGCTCCTCCTCCTACATTCAACTAACTAAGCAGAGAACACTGGCCAACGGAATTGAAATATATGCAGACCACTATCTTAAACTATAGCTATTCCCTAGTTAAACCTTTGCTTGGTAGATAGCTTTATCACACATTAAAAAAAAAAAGTTCTCTTTTTCGTCTATGGCTAGTATTTTTTTGGCTGAAGACATCAGTCAAGAAAGGGATTAATTCATATCCGAGTTTCTATTAATGGAGCATATATATGTTGAGGAAGCTAATACTAGATACATACTGAAGATTCATATAGAGACCAGAATAGTAACGATTGACAACATTAAAGTCTAAAGAGAAAATTGAAAGAATAACAGCTAGGGTTAGAAACAGGGGCAAATTAGTCAGTGTGTGGTGACTCTTATATCTATTATAATAACATGTTTCTGTTACTCTGTAGAACTTTTTGAAGTGCCAGAATTGTCAAAGAGTAGGGAACTTTTCTTTAGAAGAGCTGCTGTAACATGTCGCATGTTATGATATAACCCAGAACGAAAGATGATGGCTTGAGGTCAAGTTTCAGAAGTTCTCTACTGCGATGTTCTTGTTCGGGTTTATACATATGTATTTTGGTGTATTGGTCCAAATTACATACATATTTGGGTGTATCTCGGTCCAAAAATGAAATTGCTTTGTTTTTTAATGTAAACGATTCAAAGTGATCTTGATTGTTTTTCCTAGATTTGAAAAAGTGATCGTGATCTTAAACGATCAAAAGTGATCTTGATCTTAATTTCAGATGGGGATTTGTTGGATGGTTTATTTTATAATTGATTCAGATTCAATCAAGTTATTGTGTTATTTCGATTCCCAATTTTGAAATCATTGTCAAAATGTAGTGTTGTTATGCTGGTATGCGATTGATTATTCATAAGTACAAGTTGGAGAAAGTCGAAATCAAACTGAATGTATATATCTTATGAATCAGGTTTTGGTTAAAAGATCGGTTAAATCGAAAGGGAGTTTGGGACCAGTAGTACCTAAGACATAGGTCTGAGTTTAGAAACTGTAGCTGGAAACCAAACAAAAGCGGTTGTTTTAGCAATTAATCAAATAAGCCCATACAGCTCATAGTACTAGAAGATGCTCCTCTTCATGTTTGTGCTATCTTAACTACTTCTAGCGACAACAAGTACGAACCCCCCACCACGTACACACACTTACTAATCACTTTCTTTCTTTCTATAGAGTTTATTGCAGTATGAACCTATCCATCGCCCATAATTAGCCAAAAATTGCCGCTATCTTCGTCGTCGTTACTGACTTACTGGCATATTACGACAGCCTACTCTGTATCCAACATTTATACATGATCAATTCAAAATTTGATGGAGGGGTGGTCAGACTCAGAGTCGGTGGTGGATCATATCAGGCATTTAAAAACTGGGCAAGTGATAAGAGATCACGTACTATATATTAAAATACTATACAGTATGACACTTTCGAATATTTATGTTGATTAAATTAAATTCAAGAGTAATAATTACTATCGGTTACTGATGGCAGATTCGTCGTTAATCATATTTTTACTACAGAGTTTTGAATTTTGATGGATATTTTAAAAAAAAAAAAAAAAACCCATGCGTCTTGGATTTCATAACCATATTGTAGTGATAACACAGTTTCTCATTATAGGTTGGAAATTAATTGGAATGTTAAAAACGGAACAAAATATAAATAAAATATTTAAACATTGTTAGATACAATGCAATTGAATCAGGAGGGTTGGATCTTAATGGGTTGAAGGTAAACATTAAATTCATCCACAACCAATTCTGTCCTAGCAATCACTCCTCGTCAACTACCAACGCCAAACTCTTTCCATATATATATGTAACCTCTCAATTCACTAACCCTAAACCAAGAAACGACACAAAGAACAAAAAGAAAGAACAAAAAAAAAAAGTAACATGAGATCACTCTTACTAGCCGTGTGCCTGGTTCTTGCTTTGCACTGTGGTGAAGCAGCCGTGTCTTGCAACTCGGTGGTTTCAGAGCTGTACCCTTGCATATCCTACGTGGTTCAAGGCGGAAACGTCCCAGCCAGCTGCTGCAACGGTATCAGAACGCTCAACGGTCAGGCTCAAACCCCTGCGGACCGCCAGAGCGTCTGTCGCTGCATCAAAAATGCTATCGGAGGAGTCTCTTACTCTTCTAACAACCTCAACAATGCTCTCTCTTTGCCTGCTAAATGTGGTGTTAATCTCCCTTACAGGATCAGCCCTTCCACCAACTGCGACAGGTACGTTAAAAACACCTCTGTAATTATATATTATTCATACCAAATTCAAAACCAATAATCACTTATTCTTGCTTTTTTATTTTTTACAGTATTAACTGAGAAAAACCTGAAGGTTGCTACTACTACTACTACTACTACAAGAACTAAGAAGCCAGTAATAAATCAGGAAGACATGTGGTTTGCTAGTAATCAACTACTTTTATCTGTGTGATGTATTGTCACTTCTATGTTCTTCAAATTAAAGTTCCTATGATATCAGGACCAAAAATAATATATTTCTAACCACTCTCCATGCTCCCTTACTTACACTTACACTCAAACATACGACGATCATCAAAATGGATTATTCCACATTAAAAACTTCGATCAAATGTGAAACCATCAAATATCCACTGTAAACTGCCAACTGAACTAGCTTCAATAAATGGGACTAACAATCAGGGACATAAGTCACATAAGTAAACCTATAAACATAGCAAATTCAGACTTTATGCCCCCCAGAACCTAATTAAAAAAGAAAAAAAAAACATGAAATACGGTATTACTATTAGTCTGGCATTATGCACCACATTGTTCTTCATTACATTTCGCTTGAATCATCCTACAAAACCTAATGAGATTATTTAAATTACATAAATTTGGTTTATTGATTAATTATCATTTCATATGAGTTTTAATTTACTTCGGCGAATCGGCGTCCAAATTTATTTGTCGCGTTAGTTGGAGAGACTGGTAGTTCATAACTCTCAATACAACCTCGAACTCTTATTGTCTCTCTGTTCGTTCGGCATATGCATCTTGAAGCATAACTTGCTTACTTCTTTTTTTTTCGGTTTTTTTTTGTTGCCTATTTGATCCCCAAGTCTTGGTTATTAATGTCTCTACAGCTCTTGCTCGTTTTGCCTTTGGCCACAAACAGCACCCAAGAGTTAGCCTGCAGCTATGAAAAGAAAAAAACAGTTCTTACTTCAAGAAATCCTTACAAATTTCCAAGATATAAAAAAAAAAAACAAACTGATAAGCACTTTTTCAAACTTTAGAGCAAATACCACAGAATGAAATCATTAGAGTACAATAATGCTTACAAACCGAATTTGTAGAAACAGTGAAAATTAATGATTTCTCACAAGTAATATAATAATTAGTCAAACGTGAAAATCATTTTTCTATGTGGCTTGTTCAAAAAAATCATCCAAAGTAAGCCGACCTCCTTTCAACCATAATTATATATTCCAAGAAAACTCAAGAGTCTACGCATAATGAGAAAGGTATAAGCCGAAAAAATAAATATGCGAGAAAAGTATTAAATTTCGTACCAACAATAACAGCATAGAAAACGTGCATACTAGCGTTCAAAATTCCTTTAAGCTAGTCAATCTTTAAAGATTTATGATTTATTATGATTCGAGCGATAGAAACTACCTCATTTTAAAAGTTTAGTAACTTTCACATGGTAATTTGTCATATTGGTATGCTTTGGAAAGCCGAAAGCTCAGACATATTTTAACTACTCATAACTCATAGGCACTGTGTAATTGTGTATTACAAAACGAACGAAGATATCTTCAACTAACATTATCAATGAAATAAAATGATGCTGGCAACTGGCAAGCCCAAAGTGGAGTCATATACAATGCCGAGGAAAAAGCGGCCAAGGCCAAGAGCAAGCTCCGTCAAATAGGAGAATAGAAAAATAAAAATACCACTTTTGAGAGGACAACAAACAAATTACGACGAGTTGAATGGAGTAAAAACCTTTGATAAAAAAAATGAAGTAAAAAAAAAAAACTCGGATAAAAGTAGGGAAACCTAAAAATAGGTCTTTTTGCTCTTTTTCAAATACTAGGGGGAAACAAACAAATAAAGAAAAACATATGATTGATAGTGTAAATTCGGGAAGAAGAAGAAGAAGAGAGGAGAAAAGATCTGAGAGTGGTTTGAGGGGACCCCACGTGTCCTCTGTTGTCGATTATTGAGTTAGAAGAGTTCCGTCGCACGCGTGCACGGCGCGTGTGCTTAACCTTTTTCTAAATTTCTTATTTTGTTTTATTATTTGAAATCTTCCCAAAGAACGATGTCAGCGGGTCCCACGTTAGCAAGACGTGACAGGATAACAACCGTTGATAAGGCGCGCTGTGATCTTAAATGAACGGTTATGATATGAAGGTCAACAACCTATCTAATTAGCAATTTGACCAGAAAATTAAACCCAATTAGATACTACTGCCTATTTTGATTGAACAACAAAATAATTAAAAAAGGACAAAACTAGTTTTCCAAGTTTGACTGAGATGTCGCTTTTCTCGATGCCCTCTTTACTGGAAATCTAGGCTTGCTTTATTTAACAATTTTGCCTCCTTATCGGTTTTGTATATTAATTAAAAATTGAGAAAATTTCGTCACAAATTACATAGTCAAAATAAATAAATAATCTCTGTCGTTATTAGTGATTCAACAGAAGTTTTAAGTTCAACAAAAATAATAATACATGGTAGTGTATCAAGGGCAAGGCCCTTAAATGTGCATTGGCACTAGATTCACAGCGAGATTTATCAATATTTTATAATCCATAAATTTACATAGAAATAGTTATATTGAATTTAAAATATTTTTGAGCTATCTTTGAATGAAAATATATCTTTATTTAATTAAAAAAATATGTGCATGATATTTGTGACGAGGTTATAGAGAAGAAAACAAAAAGTGGAGGGCGAAAGAGGAATATAAAGTAAAGTGAGAAAATTCCAAACTAGTTAGCTGAGGAATTGAATTAAGATTGAGAGAGTTTAAGTAATAATAAATCTTGGATATCTGTTTGGTTTGAACTTTGACCACTGCCTCTTTTGGGTCCCACCTCTCTCTCTCTCTCTCTAATATCTCTCACTTTCCTAAACACAGAAGACCCTTTATGAGTTTCTATCTTCTCAGAAATTTCCAATTTCTTTTTTCGCTCATTTTGCATCTCTCTCTCTCTCTTGCCGCAGTTTCGATTTCGTCTCCTAAGAATTTTCTCAGGCCTTTTGTTCCTTCCAGGTTTGAACAAATTTGTCTTATCTCTGCTTTAATTTTTCTAGATCGAATTCAGGTTTTTTTTGTTTTACTTCTTTTTTTTTGTTTGCTTTCGGATAACGAATTTTCTTAGGTACATGATTTTGATCTCTCTTAAGTTTTTCTTTACATGACAACTCTGATTTCACGAATCGGCTCTGTTTAAAAATAGAAATGAATTCTTGAATTGAAATATCCACTGATAATGCATTCTTTTTAAAACCCTGATTCTTCTTCACATTGCCTTTGCCGCGACTTCTGCTTCTTCTCTAATCTTCTTCACAAAATCGATTTTTGCAGCTAGCCGTGTTACAAGTCTCAGTTCCTTTCTCTTCGGCTTCGTCAATTTCCAGGTTTTTACCCATCATTTTAGAAAGTTTGATTTTGCATTGTTTTTTTCATCGATTTCTTTCTTCTGAATAGGTTCAATTCCCTTCTTTACTTGTTAGCCTTCAACTCCCGGCTCTTGAATTAAACGATTCGATTAGGCTTAGGCTTCAGATTAGTTCAGTTCAATCCTTTCAATTTTATGAATCGATTACGGTTTAGCTCATTTCTCAGCTTAGTTTGAGCGTAAGTTCACATGATCGGCCAATGCTATTTTTTTAGACCGTCTTGTTTGATCGGAGATGGTTTTCACTTTGATATAACCGTAGTGGTTTGGATTAAGAAAACTTAGGTACAGATTTTAATATCCAATGGTAATGCATCCTATTAAAATCTTCGTTTTGTATAGTTTCCTGAATTTATTGTCCTTGTCTCGTCTTTACTGGATTTTAATCTAATGGATGTCGTCATTAAGCGTATCTCGATAGCGTGTCTAACTCGTGTCTAAGATTAGAAATATTGCATCTTTACAATTTAGCTGTTTCAATGATAGAATTAGGGTTTATGTAACTATCCTATCCTATGCTTGCTTTCTATCTAACCATGGATCTATAACTCATATTTAATCCCTTTCTATGGCCATTGATCTAACACACATGCATAAACGGATGTGGGTTTTCTAAAAACCATGTCTTTATGTGTGTATCGTTGTTTCTGCTTCTAAAAGTTGTGTGTTTTATAAATCATTTTCAGATGAAAATGGGAGCCTAAGCGTTGCGTTATTCTGAGTTATATGCATTCGAAAGCTCGAGTTTTTGTATATATACACGTTTTCCGAGAGTCAAAGTGGTAATCACAAGCAGATTTGAGAGGATTGAAAAGATGGTTCTGGGGTGTTTCCCATTGAAAAGCAAGAAGAAACGTGGCTCTGTTTCTATGAAGCGGTTGGGTCATGAAGAGAGTAAGCCAACTGCTTTACCCGAGCCACCAAAGATTCCAAGTCGTAATTTACAGTCTGCTCCTCCGAGTTTCAGAACTCGAGTGAAGCCCATTCAATCAAGTAACGGAGAGATGAGCAGCAGGGCAAGAGTGATGTCTGCTCCATCAAGCATTCACGGTGCAGCGGAACGGGATTTACTTGCTGCAGGTGCTTACCACGATGAGCAAGATGAACAACCGAGAGATCCACGTAGCTCCACGAAAGAAACTAGCCCACAACCACTTCCGCTACCGTCTCCAAAGACTGGTTCTTCGTTGAAGAATTGGGGAAGCTTCAAATCGTTCAACGGAAGCAGCGGGAGGTTATCAGCATCCGCAGCATCTGGACCTTTGCCTTTACCACCTAGCGGGTCGGTTAGGAGCTTCTCGTATGATGAAGTAGTATCTGCTTGTAGCGCTTTTTCTTCAGACCGATGTGTCTCTGAAGGTCTTTCATCAGTTATGTATATGGCTTCCTTTGGTGATGAAGCCTCCACCGCAAGCTCAAAGAGGGTCGATGCAACTGTTGTGCGCCTTCACGTAACAACATCTCAGGTAAAATACACACATTCGTTGTTATTATGTTTTTGTATGTGTTTGTTTTCTTACTTTCACTATTGTTATTCTACAGAGTATCAGGGAGTTTAGTAACGAAGTGAACACATTGGCCTCTCTGCAACACCAGAATCTGTGTAAATTGGTAGGGTATCATGCCTGTGATGGATCTGACACAAGAATGTTGGTGTACGAGAGGCTTGCTCATGGAAACTTGGACCGGCTGCTACACGGGAGATCAGATGGGCCTCCGCTTGATTGGAACACTAGAATGAAGATCGCTTTATGTGCTGCTCAGGGTCTAACCTTCTTACACGAAGAAGGCCCGTTTCAGGTACACACACACAAAAAAACTTCATCAACGTTGAGATGACATAGTAGTTATTTAGTAAATTGAGCCTTTTTTTTTGTTGTATTGTAATCTGGTAAAAACAGGCAATGTACAATGAATTTTCGACGGCAAATATCCAAGTGGATAAAGACTTCAGCGCAAAGCTATCAGGATACGGTTGCGTAGGCCATGCTCCTGAGACAGAGACCTCTAATAACTCAGCACTTGCGAATCTCTCGGTAGAGACAGTAGAGAGAGGGCTTTTGACACCAAAGAGCAACGTGTGGAGCTATGGAATAGTCCTTTTAGAGATGCTGACGGGTCGGAAAAACATGGACGGGTCATACCCGAAAGAAGAGAGGAACTTAGTGAAATGGAGCCGAGCTTTTCTAGCAGACGATTGCAGGCTCTCGCTGATAATGGATCCTCAGCTTAAAGGTCGTTTTCCAGCTAAAGCAGCACGAAGCATAGCTGATATAGCACAGAAGTGTCTGCAGGTGGAGCCATCAGAGCGACCAACCATGAGAAACATTGTAGATCAGCTCAAGATCATACAGGACATGAAGTACTCGTGTAGGTTCCCGTTGAGAGAACCAGCACCAGTCGCGGCAAGGAAACACATGGGAAGATCAAGCAGTCTCAACACGATTGTTTGGACACCGGCGGGAGGAGCGCCACCGAGGTCGAGTTTTTCACCGTCGCCTCCACCACGAAGACCGTCTGTTTCACCTACAAGGGGACGTGCGCTCGTGTTCCCACCGGTGTTTCCGCCACGTGTATGTTCGTCGTTGGAGGAGATGAGTCGGGAAGAGGTACGGAGATTGTCTTCGGCCAGTGGTAGGAGAACTAGTCTTGAAGGGTTTTGATTTGTTCATACCAGTATCTCTTTCTCTTCTTCTTTTTTTATAGCTGTTTTTTTTTTTTCTATTGGCGTTGATTTGTTTTTTGGATTCCAAATATATAAAAAATGTTATTTTTTTTTTGTTATTTATGAATCCAGACGGCATGAGAAGGGATTTGTGATGTTGTACATAAGAATCAACATTTCTTCTTTCAGATAAAAAGATTCGAATATTGTGTTAATCTTTTTTTTTTCTATTGATCAAATGTTTTGGGTATGCATAACCAAAAACTATATGTCTCCTATGTGTTATATTAATTTCTTAGCACAATTATTGGGTATCAATTTTGTGTTCTTTTACGAGCATAATCTAAAAGTAGTATCAAATTACTAATGAAAAGATGACTAGTGGTTAAAAAGTAATAAACTTATATAGCTAAACAAGCAGAGATCTAATCCTTAGTGCTCACTAAAATATACAATACAAGCTTAAAAGCGTCCTCGTTAGGAGAACCGGACCATTCAATGGAACCGATTAAGAGCATGATTAACGCTGTATTTAGGTGGAATTTAGTAGAAACTTAATATTTTTTTAATGATGGGTCGTTTCTAATTTGGCAGAGACGCCTTCTAATTGGGGATGTTTTTACGCGTTTCTGGGGACACGTGTCATGTGTGCATTCGTTTTCAAACTTGGAGAGAAATTTTTTTTTTTGCAAAAGGTTTTCATTTTGCCCGAGTTTCGAAAGTTTTCATTTCCTCTCAACCCTTTTCTCTCATTTCTCCGACGAACTCGAGGCCAAATCGATTTGTCTCCGGCAGCTTCTCTGACGGGTCGCGGTTCTCAGACGGGGGCATCACGGTTCGAAACTTGTCTGCGAAAGTGAAGGCGAAAGAGATAAGTTCTTAAACCCTAATCTCCTCTCTTTATCGGTTGAATTTTTGTTTGGTCATCCGGGGTTATCGCGTTGTGTGTATACCGTAATCGAAGTTTGTGTGTCATCTAGGGTTTAGATTTGTCTGTATTTGAAGTTGAAATTGAGAAATCCTGATTTGCGAGGAAACCTGGTTCTCACTAGATATACTCCTAGTTTCTACTGCAATAGAACAGTGATGTAGTTGTAATATAAAGGATTCGAAATCCAGAGGACCAGTGTTACTCTATGGATTTGTGAGGATTGAATTAAAGCTAAGACGAAAGATGGTTTGTTTTGAAAACTAAAAAGTAAACAGAATGGCAAACAACGATTTAAATTCAAATTAAAACAAGCACTAGACCAAAGCAATTCGCAGGAATTTCAGAGATAAGAACCAGATGACTATTCAGGACACAAGTGTAACGCAAGTCTCGAACTCAAACAGAAAAGCTTATCGATCCACTGTCGTGATCTCGATAACTTTGTCTAACAACCTAAATCCTAAACTGTCGTTTGAACCTAGAAAATTGCAGACAAGCATTAGCTAGCAGGTGTGATCTGTTCACGATTTGCCTTAACTTCAACTGTCGTTGGCTAAGGACAAATCGCTCACCAATGTTTATTCTAGCAACCTATTACACTTTTGATGAATAGATTAACCTAAAATCGCAGATTGAGTGATCAATTCAACCTAAGCATTAAGTCTAACAATGGTGAAGACAATAGATATCAAGCCCTATTTGCATCTAATCCTTTAACTCATGAAATCCTTTGAACGCTTTAATCTAGCTAAGAGATCTACTCAACATGGAGAAAAGAAACACAGAAACAGATGGAAAAGAATTCATGAATTAAAATCGCAGAAGAGATAATAGGGTTCAGAATTCTTCTCAAAGTGTAGCAGATTTCTTCTCCCTAAAGCTTACAAGTAAAAACTCTATGGTTCAGGAAATTGTAAAAAAAGGAAAAGCGTAGAAAGTCTGTAGAAAAACGTCCTTCTAAAACACAGACGGCTGTGGACTTTTTATTCTCTTTCTCCTCCTAAAATTAGGTTAAAGTCGATTTCCTTATTTTACTCCCGTCTGGAGCAGGTGCTCCACGAAGGGTCCAAACCGGGAGCATGTGCTCCGGGGATGATTTCTCCAAAAACGTGTGAAATAGCTCCTTATTGCTCAAATTCATCTCCTTTTGCACCAATGCCTCCTAAACACTCCAATCCTTTGATAAGGCCTCTAAGTCACTTGAAACTTCCTGAAAAGACTCCAAAAACTCCTAAAACAATCAGTAAACACAAGTTAGAATGAGTCAAAATCTCCACTCATCAAAACCCTAATTTTGGGAATTGAGGCTTTTTTATGTGATGAAATTTTTGGGTTCTATCTGCATATCTGGGGATAATTTGATCTGATTAGTTTGAAAATGACATTTATTTCCATTGTGATTGGGTTTAGTTTGGATGTGTCATTCATCGTTTTCGATTGTTAGTGATGGAATCGGTTAACAAGTTTAAGTACTTGCAATTTACTTCGATTATGCTCTTCTATGTCATCGTTCTTAGTCATGGTGATTTTGGTTCATCTCTTTTGAACTTAATACTCGTGAGTGTGATTTGTATGTCATGATTTGTTTCATCGTTTGTTGTCATTATGGTTTTGGTGTCTTGCTTATGATGGTTATGTCGTTTTTTACTTGTGAGATTGATTAGTTTTGTTCTGTTACTTACAGGGCAATGCCGATCAGCTACACCAACAGCACAACATCGGAGGCCAGCTATGACAGTGGTTGTGCAAAGACTTATGGGGACTTTGGGGTTCCTGACCGTTGCTATTGTGGACTTTGCTGTGTACTAGAAGAGTCTACAGCACCAGAGACACGCGGCAGGAAGTTCTACTCTTGTCCTTCTATATTGGGCGAGGTAAGATCATACTCTTCTATATGTAGGTTGTTTGTTATGTTATTCAGTTAAGTTAATTGTTTCTTGTATGCAGGAAAATCCGGATCACATTTCCAAATGGTGGGATGATGTCATTGAGGAGCAGCTGACGATTCTTCAGCGCAACATCGACCAGCAGAGTTCAAGGATGAGTTCCATGATGGAAAGTTCCAACAGAACAGCCCTCTTGCAGTCATATGAGGATCGTCTCTATGCCTTGGAAGACCGCATTGCCAGAATGAATAACACCGTCACTGAGATCGAGGAGTTCATAGGCTACATTCAAAGTGAAGTGGCTGGAGTGAAAGATTCACTGGCTAATCGAGGTTCTGATCTGCTTCTAATCCTGTTTTTAATAATTTTTACTGTCAATCTCTTGTGTCGTTATGCGATGGGATGTAGAATAGGCGGATGTAGAATAGGCTGATGTAACATTAAGGGTTTAGAGTTTAGGGCCATCAATTTGTTCTTTTCATGAATGTTGTTGTAATGACTTCTGTATTTCATCCCATCTATTGCTATCTTCTGTTCACTTCATATACATCGTTTATTTGTTTCTAGTAGAGGTGTCCTTTCTGTTTTAGGTTATTAATCTGATATCAGTGAGTATATGAAGGCTTATCAAGCATTTGTTCGGTGGCCTAAACCAGATAAGTAACTATTCCTTTGCATATTTAAGTTTACTTATTTTTTGTTCAGTTTGGTCATCTCTAACATGTGTTTAAATGCAGCGTAGGGTCAAAATCAAACCGGAAGTTTACACAATCAAATGGTTAGAGCTTAACGAATCGGTGCTGCAACAAGATGGAATCCTGCTTACGTTTTTTCTCTTCTCGTAAGTTTACGTTTTTTGAAACCGTAAGTTTACGTTTTTTCTCTTCTCGTTGTAATTACTGCTGTTAAGTGATTTGCGTAGATGTTAGGTATGAATAAATGCAGAATTAGGTTTACGTCTTGTCGCTCTTTAAGTTTGTTGTGTTTGAGGATTAGATATGACGTGTGTAGATGTTAAGTGTATTCATTTTCCTCATTAAAGCAAACGGTACAAAATCTAGTAAACCCTATAGCTGTTAAAGTAATTGTAGCTTCTTAAATTCGTCATTACTGCGTTTAACCAAATCTCCCATTCCTCATTACTCTTCCAAACCAAATACATCATCTCTCTTCCATTCGTCATTACTCTTCAAACCTAAATACATCATCTCTCATCCAGTCCTTTTTATTCATCTTTATTATTCTCCTCATTCCTTTCATCGCTTTCTTTGAGCTCTTTCATTGTTCTCTCCTCTTGTTCATATGGATCATTTCTCGCAGCCCTCTAACTTTGTTGACTTGTTGACAAGTCAACACGAACCATCACTGAATGATGGTTTTCACTCTATCGACCAAGAACCCTTATTCAGCACTCAGTGTTCATTAGCAACTAACGTTGGTGATACAACTGGTCACCGAGTGGATAGGAGGACTTGGGCGGCCAATGGGGATGTGCTTCTTATAAGCGCTTGGCTTAACACAAGCAAAGACCCTATTGTCAGTAACGAGCAGAAGTCCGGAACATTTTGGAAGAGGATAGCCATTTACTACGCAGACAATATGAACCCATCGATGAGTGCACCGCGCGAAGCCGGCCAATGCAAGCAAAGGTGGCACAAGATCAATGATCTTGTGTGCAAGTTCTGTGGGGCGTTTGAGGCAGCAACGAGGGAAAAGAGCAATGGAATGAATGACAACGACATCTTAAAAATGGCTCACCAGATCTACTTCAGTGATCAGAAGAAGAAATTCAACTTGGAACACGCATTGAAAGAGTTGCGAAATGACCAAAAGTGGGCTGAACTGTCGACCTTGAAAACGGATCATCCCTCGAAAAAAAGAAGGTCTGAAGAAGTTCCCTTCACACCAAGTCCTGAGGTCGAGGAAATAAGTGCTGGTGAGCATGGTCAAGGTAGCAAAAGGCCACCTGGTGTGAAGGCGGCGAAAGCAAAAGGAAAGAGGCCAACGAGTGAAGCAAAGTCTGCGGTTGAGTTTGGGGGTATGTGGGTTTTTAGGGAAAAGGAGATGGCCCTCAAAGAGAGGCTCTCGAAGATTTCTCTTCTAGACAGTCTTATTGCCAGGAAAGATACATTGGCCGAATACGAGGATAACCTGAAGAAGACGCTTATCCAACAGCTATTCTAGACAATTTGTGGTGTTTGTTGTTTTAGGAGATATGTCTTTTCATTAACTAGTTTCTATAAGTAGTTTCCATATGTTCTTTTGTGTACCATTACTTTGTGTACCATTATCTAGTTTCTACTCTTGTCCTCTATATTGGAAGAGGTTAATGACTTTGTGTTCATCTTTTCAATATGTTTTATGTTCCTGTTCTTTTAACTTTGTTAACGTCAATGTGTTTTCATTATTATTGAGATTATGTTTGGGTATTTGTTCCTTTTGGCACTTTGTGTCACAGGTTGTGGTGGAGCAGAAATTTGACTCAGGATGAGTAGGACTCCACGAATAAAGAAGTTGAGGGGGAATCTTTTGAGCAATATTTTGAGCAATACTATGAGCAAGCGTATGAGCAATACTATGAGCAAGCGTATGAAAGTGTGTTTACACAATATGGCGAGCACCAGGAACCAAAGAAAACTAAGACAAAAAGAGCGTATGTGGAAAGAGATCGTGAAGAAGGGCATCTTCGGTTATGGAACGATTATTTCAGCGAGAGAGCAACGTATCCTGCAAATTTATTCAGACGTCGTTTCCGGATGAACAAGTCTCTGTTTTCGCATATCGCCGGAAAACTTTCCGGTGAATTTCGTTTCTTCCAACAAAAGAAAGATGCTTTGGGAAGACCTGGACTCTCTGCTCTACAAAAATGTACGGCAGCAATTCGTCTCTTGGCATACGGTGGTGCTGCTGATTCTGTAGACGAGTACCTCAGACTCGGTGAAACAACTGCTCGGTCATGTTTAGAAAATTTTGTTGAAGCAATAATCCATTTGTTCGGAGATGAGTACCTACGAAGACCAACACAGGAAGATCTTCAACGCTTACTTGATGTTGCAGATGAACGCGGATTTCCCGGGATGATAGGAAGCATCGACTGTATGCATTGGGAGTGGAAGAACTGTCCAACCGCTTGGAAAGGGCAATACTCCCGTGGATCAGGAAAACCAACGATCGTTTTAGAGGCGGTAGCTTCATATGATCTTTGGATATGACATGCATTTTTGGACCTCCAGGTACATTAAATGATATTAATGTCCTAGATCGCTCACCCGTGTTTGATGATATCTTAAAAGGAAAAGCACCTCAAGTGAATTTTTCTGTAAATGGACGGGAATACGGTCTAGCATACTATCTCACCGATGGTATCTATCCAAAATGGGCGACATTCATCCAATCAATTCCACTTCCCCAAAGCAAAAAAACATCTGCATTTGTAGAACGTCAAGAGGCTGCACGAAAAGATGTTGAGCGTGCTTTTGGTGTATTGCAATCTCGATTTGCTATTGTTAGGAATCCGGCTCTTTTCTGGGATAAAGATAAAATAGGTAAAATTATGAGAGCTTGCATCATACTCCATAATATGATTGTTGAAGACGAACGAGATGCACACACTCATTATAATGCAGTAGAAGAATTTCAACTAGGGGAGGGAACTAGCAGTTCACCGATAGATCGTTCGTACTCGACAACTATGGCAACAAATGTTGAAAATATGTTGGATACTCGGAGGAGAGTTCGTTCCAATGAAGTACATGAACAATTACAAGAAGATTTAATGGAGCATATATGGCAGAAATTTGGTCATTTGTATATTTAGTTTCTATAAATGTTTTATGTTAATTTGTATGTTTAGTTTCTATAAATTTAAATCCATGTTTGGTTAAATTTTAATCAAATAAGTTTTTTAAACAATTATGATTTATTTTAATTTGGTAAATAATTCTTTTTTTTTTAGAAACTCATATCAATCTCTCCATTGCACAGATTAAACACGAAATCTCTAGAATGGGTTTCTAAACTCACTTTTTCCACATAAACTAATTTAATATTGCTGTGGAGACCCTCATGGTTTCTCCCATTGAGGTTGCTCTAATGGGTTTGGTTTGTTATCCGTGTCTCACACAATTAATAAAGAAGAGTTTTTATGGAACTCCTCGCTTTTCCTGATATTAGACCTTGTCTGGGTCGAAACAACTCAAGACCGGGAACGGGTTGAAAAGCCTTAGGCTTTGGTCGAGAGGCATGGTATCGGTCGCGGTCTAGCCAAGACGGTATGGGACATTTTGGCCGGACTGTCTCTGTTATTATTCTGTAGCACTCTGGGTTCTTTCTATTCATAGATCGAATCGGGGGTGTTACAAAAGTTGGTATCAATCGGGGATTGAGTGTAACCTTCCCTTTAGGACCTTATCCAACGTTTCAGACTCAGCGCCTTCAATTTCTCGCCGGCGGAAGAACAGAATGGCGGGAATATCGACTTTCTCTGTATATTCATCTCCTTCTTTGTGCATATCATATTCAACTACTTCATCTTCATCGCTCTCACTGTCTTTCTCGAATCGATCGGCGTTCCCTGTGCGGATTTCTCCTCGAACCAACAGATTTCCCGGTTAAAACTTCTCTCCGCTCTCTAATTTCGAGACTTTGATAGGGATTGGTTTCTGATTTTTGTATTCCGACTACGTTGATGTTGCAGGGGTTTACTGTTCTTTGTCTGCCAATGACATCAAAGCCGGAACAAACATCGAAGTCGATGGTGCTCCTTGGCGTGTACTCGGTATTCTTCCTTCCTTCTCATAAATATAGAGGTTATACTATTCGGAATTGGTACTGTCTACTAGGATGTTGTTACTCTAGTCCATGACGAATTAAGCCTTGTTTTTCGAGTTGATTGCATCTAATTTCTGCTTAAAGCTGTACTAGTCAGAGATTTCGGTCTTCAAAACTTCAAGTTTTCCTTTTTTTGCTGGCTTTTATTTTTTTGGGGCAGAGTTTCTTCATGTCAAACCAGGGAAAGGCGCGGCATTTGTGAGAACTAAGATCAGGAAATACGTCAATGGTAGCACAGTGGAGAGAACATTTCGTGCTGGAATTTCTGTAACAATCCTCTCTCTCTTCTTTTGTATCTTAATCCACGGAATGATTCTAGCTGCAGCACCGTGAGTATTTCTCTTGTATAGTACAGGTCGAAGAAGCAAATGTATTCAAAGAAACCAAACAGTTCACATATAGAGAAGGGTCTCAGTTTGTTTTCATGGATCTGGTATGTCAATTGGATCCTTACTTCTTTTCTTAGCTTAAACAATGGTTGGTTGCTCTAGTGACATGATTTGTTTCGCGTTTAATCAAAAATCTCCTTCTAATCAGAGCACGTACGAAGAAACACGTCTTAACGAATCTGATATGGGTGAGAAGACGAGATGGTTGAAAGAAGGAATGGAATGCAGTTTGCTGTATTGGAAAGACAAGGTACACACTTTTAGTTTCTCAGTAAATAAGTACACAGACGAAGCGGTGATGCTTGTTCTTATTTCTGTCTGGTTTTTTTCGCAAAGGTTATCGATTTCGAACTACCAAATACGGTTAAGCTAAAAGTGGTTGATGTTGATCCTGGCCTTCGCGGTGACACTGTGCAAGGTAATATAACAATGTTGCACAAAGATCGGTTCTTTTGTTTTGGTCTAAATCACGCCCTAAACCGGATGGTGTGGTGGTTGTATAGGTGGATCAAAGCCTGCGACAGTGGAAATAGGAGCAGTAGTTACCGTACCACTCTTTGTTAACGTAGGTGAAGAAATATTGGTGGATACTAGAACCGGTATGTATATGAACCGAGCGTAACCGGGTCTACATCTAATTAATTGGGTCTAAAATCTAGATCGACAAGGCAAAGATGGATTTTTTTTTGTTTGTGTATACGAGGACAGATGTTATTTTAAAAGAAATAATATTGAACACGAGAAGACTCTTTTAGATCGAAATCCCTATAAGTAAAACACGACTAATCAAAACCAAATCAGGAGATCTGCAAGTAGATTTAGCAATCAGAACGTCTTCTAATGGGCCTAGTGAGAGCCGGCCCACTAATACTACAAAAAAAAAAAAGAAGGGATTGGTGGACAAAAAAACCTCCGCCGCATATTAAACTACTGGTCAACGTTATCCCAATAGGAGATGGCCACGTGTCCTTCCCCTGGATCTACGATCTTAAAATCCTCCTCTCGTCCTCAGTTCCATTCTCGTCTCCTTCCCCAGGCATCCTCTCTGGTAATCCTTCCTCTCGCTCTCTTTGACTTTTCTCTTGCACAATTTAGATGTTTCATTTAATTCTTCTTCTGGATCCATTGAAAGTATCAAAATTCGTGTATTATTTCTACAAAGACGAAACTTTCACGTTCATATCATAATTCTCTGTAGGTTCGATTTACTTGCATTGCTTACGACTAGATATGAATTATCCAAAATTTAAGTTTTTTCGTGGGTTTCGTTTGGCCTCGTTTGTCCTGGGTAAATTTGGGGTTCTCGAATCTGTTTAGGTTTTGTATCCATCCTGAATCCGGAAATTGTATGGCATTTGGGTTTATTCAAAATTACAGTGGAAAATTTCCTCTTTTATTATTATTAAAAAAAAGGGAGGGAGTAGGATAAACTCAGTTAAAAAGGAAGGTTTGACTAGCGTATAATCAATTTTACATCCATCTTTTGATAAATTTGGTCAATCCCGATTTTATATGTTGCTGCCTTTTATAGACCATCTGAATTTTGTGAACTTTGATGTACCTGCAGAGCTTAGAAAACCTTCATGGCATTTGCGCACTTCTGCAGCATCGAATGTTTCCTTAAAATCGGGAAACAGCAAGAGCTTCTTCTCCTTGTTATCGGATTGCCTATTGCCAGCAGTCGTTTTAGTCAGTTTTCTCCTCATTAAAACTCTGTCGATACAGAATCCCTCACCAGTCTGGTAAAGCTTTCCCTGCGATTCTGTATCGATTTTCTGTTTTTTGATTGGTGTAAATTATGGTTTCCTCTCACCGTCCTGTCCCCAACAAAAACCACAAACAGCAATATTTATCCCTCAGCCCTTCAGATTCTGTCTTGAAAGATAATGTTGAACTAGATTTCTCTGATGTGTTTGGCCCACTCCCTGAAGAGGCCAATGATGTTGTTTATGACGAGCCTGCTGTTGTCTACAGCCGATCCCACTCATTGGTCGGCCCATCTTCGTTTGGCAGTCATTCTTTCAAGCTGAACAGGCTCACCTTACGAGAGACTGAGCACTCCATTGAATTGGTCGAATCTCTGGAATGTTTTGAAGGTGAATCGTTAGAGAAAAGCGATGACTTTTCTGGTAATGACGACACTGACAGTGAGAAAGCTACAGAGGGAGATCTGGTAAAGGTCTCAGGTGTGGTAGGCATTGAGGATTTTGAGGTTCTAAAGGTTGTGGGGAAAGGGGCGTTCGGGAAAGTATACCAGGTGAGGAAAAAGGAGACATCTGAGATATACGCCATGAAGGTCATGAGAAAAGACAAGATAATGGAGAAGAACCATGCGGAATACATGAAAGCTGAGCGAGATATTCTTACCAAAATTGATCATCCTTTCATTGTTCAACTTAAATACTCTTTTCAGGTAAAAATTCCCACTTCTATTGGTTTGCCTCCTCCTAGTGGTTTTTCTTCATAAATTCTGATACTCAGAGCACTATACATACCCGTTTTTTTTCTTCTGCAGACTAAGTATAGGCTGTATCTTGTGCTCGACTTTATAAACGGAGGGCATCTATTCTTCCAGCTCTATCACCAAGGGCTTTTCAGGTTTGGTTTATTTCCTTTCTGCAACTAGTTTTGGAGTTTTATCATAATTCTGCAAGGCTTAACTAGTTAGTTCTATGTTTTGTTATCCACAGAGAGGACTTGGCTCGTGTGTACACTGCGGAAATCATCTCTGCAGTTTCACATCTCCATGAGAAAGGCATAATGCATAGGGATCTCAAACCTGAAAACATTCTCATGGACGTAGATGGCCATGTGATGCTAACTGATTTTGGTTTAGCAAAGGAATTTGAAGAAAACACAAGATCAAACTCCATGTGCGGAACAACGGAGTATATGGCACCTGAAATCGTTCGTGGAAAAGGGCATGATAAGGCTGCTGACTGGTGGAGCGTTGGGATTCTTCTCTATGAGATGCTCACGGGAAAGGTAAAAACGTCTACTTCTTTTTGTGTTTCCAAAGAAGAAGTCTCATTCATGCCTTGGTATTCGTTTAGGTGATATAAATGTCTTGTGTGATGCGATTTGTTTCCTTTTGCAGCCACCTTTTATGGGGAGCAGAGGAAAGATAGAGCAGAAAATTGTGAAGGACAAGATCAAGCTTCCGCAGTTTCTGTCTAGTGAAGCTCATGCGTTGCTGAAAGGGGTAAGTAAATATGAAAATCTTTTAAGTGTACTAAGAATTATGAAGAAGCATTGGATTAGACAAAATCTGGTTCTGACTTTGTGATGAATGGTATAGCTGCTGCAAAAAGAGCCAGAAAGGCGACTTGGAAGTGGACCGAGCGGAGCAGAGGAGATAAAAGAGCACAAATGGTTCAAAGGAATGAACTGGAAGAAGCTGGAGGCTAGAGAAGTGAAGCCAAGTTTCAAGCCGGAGATATCGGGAAGGCAATGCATAGCAAATTTTGACAAGTGTTGGACTGAAATGTCTGTGTTGGATTCTCCCGCAAGCAGTCCAAGCTCGGATCCTAAGGCCAACCCTTTCACCAACTTCACATACGTCAGGCCTCCTCCTTCATTCCTTCAACAATCTACATCGACTTTGTAGACGAGCTATCGAAATCAACTTTCACATGTTTCCAATCAAGAGAGGGTTTCAACAAAGCTAGGAACCTTATGTTGTTTCTTTTTTTATTTCTTTTTTACTTTGATTAAGAATCTCATTTAAAGTTAAGATATGATATTGAGTTAATCCAATATTTTTAACTAAAAATGAATGTCTCTTATTAACTTTTGAATAACATAAGGTTTGATATGACTTTTATAAATCATTGACTGAACACTAAAACATGACCAACAAAATTCATGTAGGTGATATGATTTTAAATTATTTTGAAATATTTGAAGGAATTTATATGTTAATTATGGGAATAGACAAATAGTTGATGTTAATAATAATATACAAAAAATAAACCTCTGCCGCGTTAGAACAACTTGCCAACAGTTCTTCCAATAAAATAAACGTGTCCTGACCCCTTGATCCACGATGCTTCTTCTGTAACATAAATAAATTTAAAAAAAAAAAAAAAAGGAGCCACGCGCCTCTGAAACCTTTTCCTTGCGGGTTTTGGTATTTTCCATTGCCTCTTAAATAAATTCTCCTCTCCTTCTCCTTCCTCAGGCATATTCTCTCTCTCTCTCCCTGGTAATATTTTCTCTCTCTCTCTTTCTCTTTGACTTTTCTACCGCAGAGTTTAGATTCATTTTTCTCTTCTGGATATAATACATTATTGAAGTTCATGTATTGTTTCTACGACACGAAACCGTTTAGGTTCAAGTCCTAGTTTTTCTCTCTATCTTGTTTTGTCTGCAAATTGCTTTTGTCATGCGACACCTGTTTCCTTAATTTACGACTAGATCGGAGTTCTAAAGATTTTTTTACTTGAGGGAATCGTTCGGTCTCGTGTTCTGCTGAAATTTTGGTTCTCGCAGCTATTTTAGCTTCTTTTTTTTTTTTAAACGATTCTGAATCCGGCAATTGAAGAGCTTCGGGCTGTATTCAAGATTTTTCTCCGCAGTGAAATTTTTCCCCTCTTTTTTTATTTATTTATTTTTGGTGAAGGATCCTCTAATGATATTTGGTCGGTGCGAAGTTTTCTTAATCTCAATTATGGTGACTTTAGTTTTTGGTAATTAAGAAGAAATCTTTTCACTTGTTTAATTTTTAATTTTTATGATAATTCCGTATCCGTCTCTCGATGATTTTGGTCAATCCTGTACTTGATATGATCATGTCTTAGCCTCAGACTCTGAACTTGTAAAAAATTCATGAATTGCAGGGCTTAGAGCACTTTGATGGCATTTACGCAATTGTGCAGCATCCACTGTTTCCTTAAAATAGGGAAACAAGAAGATCTTCTTCTCCTCGATATTGGTTTCTCTGTTCCAAGTCTTCTCCTCATTAGCTACATTCGTAGGAGACCCTAACCAATCTGGTGAAAACTTGTGAAGCTATTTCTTTTGGTCGATTGGTTTTTGAAAATATGGTTTCTTCTGAGTGTTCTGGTGTTGCCAACAAAAACCTGACTGGCAAGGCCTTTCATAAACAGCTATGTTTAACAATCACCCCTCCACATGCTGTCTTGAAAGATGATGTTGAACTTGAATTCTCTGATGTCTTTGGTCCACTCCCTGAAACTAATAACTCTGGAGAAGATGGTGATGTTGTTTACGACGAGCCTGCTGTTGTCTACAGCCGATCGCACTCATTGGTTGGCCCGTCTTCTATCGGTGGTCATTCTTTCAAGCTGAACAAGCTCACCTTACGAGAGACTGAGGACTCGATAGAATTGTTGGAGTGTCTCGAAGGTGAATCTTTAAAAGAAAGCGATGAAATCTCTGGTAATGACGACACCGACAATGAGAAAAGTCCAGAGGGAGATGTGGTAAAGGTCTCAGGTGTTGTAGGCATTGAGGATTTTGAGGTTTTGAAGGTTGTGGGGCAAGGCGCGTTTGGGAAAGTGTACCAGGTGAGGAAGAAGGAGACATCTGAGATATACGCTATGAAGGTCATGAGAAAAGACAAGATAATGGAGAAGAACCATGCGGAATACATGAAAGCTGAGCGAGATATTCTTACTAAAACCGATCATCCATTCATCGTTCAGCTTAAATACTCTTTTCAGGTAAAAATTCCTACTTCTCACTCTGTTTGCATCCTAGTGATTTACATTATAACTTGTTAACTTAGAGCACTATACCTACCCGTTTTTTTATTCTGCAGACTAAGTATAGGCTGTATCTTGTGCTCGACTTCATAAACGGAGGGCATCTTTTCTTCCAGCTCTATCACCAAGGGCTTTTCAGGTTTGGTTTAATTCCTTTTTGCAACTATTTTTGGAGTTTCCCCAGAATTCCTCAAGGCTTGACTAGTTCTATGTTTTGTTATCCACAGAGAGGACTTGGCTCGTGTGTACACTGCGGAAATCGTCTCTGCAGTTTCACATCTCCATGAGAATGGGATAATGCACAGAGATCTTAAACCCGAAAACATACTCATGGACACGGATGGCCACGTGATGTTAACAGATTTTGGTTTAGCTAAGGAATTTGAAGAAAACACAAGATCAAACTCCATGTGCGGGACTACTGAGTATATGGCACCTGAAATCGTTCGTGGAAAAGGACATGATAAAGCTGCTGACTGGTGGAGCGTTGGGATTCTTCTCTATGAGATGCTCACTGGAAAGGTAAAAAAAAATGCCGTCTTCTTTTGTAGTCTTGGTATCTATTTAGTTGATAACTGATATGTGTTGTGTGATGCCATTGTTTTACCTTTTGCAGCCACCTTTCCTGGGGAGCAAAGGAAAGATACAACAGAAAATAGTCAAGGACAAGATCAAACTTCCACAGTTTCTGTCTACAGAAGCTCATGCGTTGCTGAAAGGGGTATGTATCATCATCTTCATGTACTATCAAACATTGGATTAGAAAAAATCTGGTTCTGACTTTGTAATGAATGTATAGCTGCTGCAAAAAGAGCCAGAGAGGCGACTTGGAAGTGGACCGAGCGGAGCAGAGGAGATAAAAGAGCACAAATGGTTCAAGGGAATGAACTGGAAGAAACTGGAGGCTAGAGAAGTGAAGCCAAGTTTCAAGCCGGAGGTATCGGGAAGGCAATGCATAGCAAATTTTGACAAGTGTTGGACTGAAATGTCTGTGTTGGATTCTCCCGCAAGCAGTCCAAGCTCGGATCCTAAGGCCAACCCTTTCACCAATTTCACATACGTCAGGCCTCCTCCTTCATTCCTTCAACAATCTACATCGACTTTGTAGAGGATCTATATGTTATTAGATGGGTTTATGGAAATATACTTCTGTGAATACATAATTTGACGTTTCTAAGCTTCTTCATCGCCTTCTTGATGTATACGTTTAATTTTTTTTTTTTTTTTTACTATCTAAAACTGTGTGAAACATATGAATATGAAATTACGTTTGACTAAGAACGCTATTTTATATGTGATCGATCTTGTTAGAAGTGTGAAGGAATTGTTTGATTGAGAACAAATTATTAAACAATTGAACCAGAGCAACTAACATTGACCATTGACCCTTTTTGTAAACAAAAAAAAATAAAAACGTAGGATAACGACGTTGCTTTCGGACCAAACTAGTATCCAATAATGTAATGTAAAAGCATCTGGTTTATTTTATTTGGTCTTACTGAAAGAAAAGCTCAAGTCAAAGTAAAGAGTGGTTTTTTTAATGCTTAAATCCGCTCTTCTTTGCAATTATTTTTTTCATTGCAAAAACTCTAAATGTGATCCACACACTCTATCACAGTTCATATCAACAGTTTGAAGAAGAGTCATAACAATCAATTGTAGTCTCATATTTAAGCTCCTTTTTCGAATTAATCACAAATGTAAGGTCTATAGTCAATCTAGTTTCGGAATGGCAATCTCGAACGTCCATATACATTCCCTGGCCATAACCTCAGCCGTATAATGTAATCTGAAACATCTGCTTGAGGGATTTGGGAAAGTATACAAAGCAGTAATCGATGATGGACAAGTTAGTTCTCGACAGAGATCAGAATCTTACTATCCACATTCATTAATAAAGTATTTGACAGTAAAGAAGAATCAAAATCAGAGAGAAGCTTCTTGCTTGCACATTTTAGATAGAGACGATTCAATACATATTTGGTAATGAGAATGAAAAGATGCATATCATAGAAACAGGATGATCTAACTCAAAAGGTTTTGTGACTTTTTTTTTTTAATAACACTTGCATTATACATCCCTTGATCAGAGCAAAGACTTTTCGATAGTTTCCAGCGTGAAGAAAACGCAAGAAGACAAGGCTGCGTCAAGGCCGTAGTGGACTTTCAGGAACAGAGTCAACGATAGAAGTAACCTTCTTCTGTAGCTCCGGCTTGTTTGCTCCAACAAGCTTGCCTATTTGCTGTCCATTCTTTAGGAAGAAGAACGTTGGTGTTGCCTTTATGTCCCAAGATGAGCTAAAATCCTGCAACAAACCACAAGATACAATTGAGATTTTGTTGAAGATGTGAAGGAAGGAAGAAATAAAACAGAATATGGAAAGAAGGTATTGATGTTACTTACGCTGAGTTCATCAACATCTACAAGAAGGAACATAAGAGAAGGATGTTTCTCTGAGAGCTCGATGAAAAACGGTGCCACAATCTTACAAGGACCACACCAAGTTGCGCTGAAGTTTGCAATCACCTGTCCAAACAAGAGAGTTATGGCTGATGATCAGGTTTGGGAAAAACACAAAACACTCGACGAGAAGAAGGGTGAAAACTTACTATTTTGCCATCACGACCAGCTTCTGCTAATTTCTCGTCCCAGCTCTCTTTTGTTGTTATGAGATGAACATTGCCACCGGAAAACTCGACGTTATGGATTGAATCATCGTCGTCTTTGCCCTACGTAGCAACCAAAAGGGGTTTTTAATTTCATCATCGCACAAACAACAAATACAAACCAATTTCAGGCGTCAAAATTCATTTCTTTACCTTAGAGACGCAGCTTCCCATTTGAATGTTCTAGAAATTCGAATTTGCGTAAAAAAGAAAATCGAGTCCTTTTTTTTAACCCTGAAATCCTGAAATTAAAGGGGGAGATTTCAGCTCATAGGATATAATAGCGAAACAAACGAAAAACAAACAAAAAAAAAGAGTGTGTGGCGATTATAACAATTAACGGTGAAAAAAGGGACCTTTGAGATCGGGTATGAACAAAAGCTTAAACGTATATAGAAAAGGTTGAAAATTTATGACAGAAGATGAAACAAATGAAGAGAGGATGATTTCTTTTTTTTTCTCTAACCTATTTCTTCTTCTGGTGTTGGCCTGGGGAGAAGGATGAAGAAGAATGAATGAGAAAACGGCGTCGTCGAGTGAGAAAGAAAGATTACCAAATTAGAGGAGTCGTTGATTGGAGAAGAAGAAGCTCCTTCCCATTATGACCGCGTCAGACCCAATTTCCCCCTTTCCCCATAATTACCTTTTTGCCCTCCTCCTCTCTGTCAACTTTTTTTGTTTTTTTTTTCGTTTTTTCTCTTTTTTTAATTAAATCAAATTAATTAGACTATTCTGTTACTTTTTATATTTTTAAGACAGATTTACGGTACAAACTGAAGAGAGTACCGAAACAAAAGTACACAAAAACGAAACAGCGCACAACGAGAATTGAACATTTGACTGTCTTTTTTTTGGTCAACAAATGAATATGACTTAAATGGATACAGCAATTACAGGAATTTTTAACTATTTTCTTCCTTCATTTTGAGTGACTAAAATAACATTGTGTAGAAATAGAACTCCCTAGTTCTGTTTTACTTTTTTTTTTTTTGGTCATCTGAATTTATATAGGTATATACTGGGTTAGAACATAACAACAACTTTAATCTCTACAATGGTCATAAAAATTTCCTCAGACCAGAGAGACATACGGCTGCACAAAGCCCAAATAACAAGAGGCCACATCTTACGGTCTGTCTTCCTATAAGTTGAATCCATGCAACACAAACAAATATGTACGCGGCTAATTGGTATGGCACACTGTGATATGATAGATTTTAAAATCATTGTTGTACCAAAACAATCACATTAGTTATAGTAATCACTCACAAAGAGAGTAGAAGTATTGTATTGTATACCCAAAAAATTGAAATAAATAGTTTCTAGCATTGATAATAAGAGAAAAAGCAGGTTGAGTTTGTTGAAAATATGACCACATACTAATGTAATTTTTGTCAAACACAAGAAATGCATTTTGTTTTCAAGTTTAATATAATTCCAAGCGAAATGACAACAGAGAGTTTACTTGTCTTAACCACGAATTAAGCATATTATCATCCCATGGCATACTTCTGTGTCCAGCTTCGAGCAGTTGACTCGTACTTGGATTTATCAATCTTGTACGTATGAGCTATCTCTGGCACAAGAGGATCATCTGGGTTCGGGTCAGTCAGCAATGAGCAGATCGATAACAACACCTAATAACACAGCATCATCATCGCTCAATATATAGTTATTATCCGTGTAATTTGTGTTTGTTCAAATGGTAGTTAAGAGATACAAAAATCAAACCTTGGATATGGTAAGAGCAGGGCTCCATTGTTCTTTCAGGATATCAAGGCAGATGCTTCCATTGCTGTTGATGTTTGGGTGGTACACCTTCGTCTTGAAAGACACCTGCAAAATCGGATAAGACATCACAAAGATGTGTACATCATAAATTAAGTTTCATCCCGCAATAGATGATGATTAGTTACTGACTGAGAGAAAAAGAAAAAAACACAAACCTTGGGTGGCTTGAAAGGATAATCGGGAGGAAAATGAATGGAAACCAAGAATACTCCTCCGGCATAGGGACTATCAGGAGGTCCCATGATAGTTGCTTGCCAATGGAACATGTCCTCAGCAACAGGACCTAATTATTACAATAAAACTCAATTAACTCAGAACCACATCTATAGAGACAGATTAACAAAAAAAAAACAAGACACAAAAGGAGACACTTGACATAAATCATGCTGAGCTTTGGATACTCTTAAGATGATAAAAAATGAGAATCAAGGAAGAGTTTTCTCTAATACAGGACAATAAAGACAACAAGAAATCCCCATCAAACATAGCCTAGCAAATCAAATTATGAAATATGGAGACTCATTCAGTTCATTCGTTAGTGGGGGAATTGGGGAATAAATAATCAAATAGAAAAAGGAAAACTACCTGCGCTGCAGTTTGAAGGAGGATCCTTCTGCAGATCCTTGAGCTCCTTCAAGATCCGCTTCGAAGAAGCCATGACGACGGAAAACTGCAAAACAGATTATCAGAGAGGAAGACGGAGATTCCGAGCCAAATAACACAGAACGTAAGTGATCAGAAACCCTATAAGCGAAGCGAGCAAATCAAAACAGAGGAAGTAAGGTTCCGGGAAGATAAGAAATTAGTGCCTAACCAAGGAAAATTGGTGGAATTGGATCTGGAAACCGGTGAGCTTCTTTCTCGAGAGAAGCGGCGTGTACCTTTCTTCTCCTTCTTTCTTTTCTTTATAGTCAGAGAATCTAACTTTTTTGATAAACCCAAAAACAAATTAAAAAAAAAAAAAGTCAAGAATCTAAAACTATCTAAAAAGTCAGTCAGACTCGAAGCTTCTGATTACGTCAGCAATTCACACGCCAAAGTTTTTTTAATTACACCCATATTTCTTTCCTCCTTGCAAACAATAACCAAAGTACTGTACTTTCATAAAACTAACTACAATTACTTTTTGATTCAGTAATTTTTTATTTTTTTTTTTCAAATAATTTACGGTTTTTGTCGAGACAATATTATGAATTCATTTAGTTATATAATAATACCTTACTTTTCATTGGATATTAGAATCTGATATATTTTGCCTAAAAGTATAAGTCTCTTCCAAACGTTGTATTTATACCAAATTTAAATACGCATATTTTATAACCAAAAAAAAAAACGAAAGAAAAAAGGAAATGTGTCAAACATGCTTCGGATATACGAACTGTATCCTTTATTTTCTTTAAATTAGAGAGAGAAACATCGACTAAAGACCACGGTGACCGCCCTTACTTTTCATGCCAAAGAAAATGGAAACTTTACTAACCACACACTAAAAAACCAATCTAAGGACAGAGTTTCAGTTACATTACCTTTCCAGATAATGTTTGAAAAATAAATTATGCTCAAGTAGTCAGACATAGAACTACGAAATGGTTTATTACCAAGAGGAAGAAGGAAAAAGCAAAATAAATAATGATTTGCGAAAACAAGAAATCTAAACCGGACTATCAGAGCTTCTGATCATCTCCGGCGAAGAGGCTCTGTTGGCAGAACCAGGACCAGAACCTGTAGAAGGCCGAATCTCCTCCATCATGTTAACCACTTCCTCCATGGAAGGCCTAGAATCTGGATGCTTAGATACACAAGCCATTGCTATCTGCAACATCTGCACCATCTCTTCCTCAACGTTGTGCTGCTGCTTGATGAGCTCTACGTCAAACACTTCTCCAGTCCACTCCTCTCTCACCACCGACTGCACCCACTTGGGCAGATCCACCACTTCCTCATGCCCTGTCGTCTTCCCGGCTGCTTTCCCTGTCAGCATTTCTAGCAACAGTACACCGAAGCTGTACACGTCAGATTTCTGAGTATGTTTCCGTGTTTCTATGGCCTCTGGTGCTCTGTACCCTAAGCTTCTTGATGGGAGCAAGGTGTGATGGCTCATCAATGGAGCTATACCGAAATCTGAGACACAGACATGGAGGTCCTGGGTTAAGAGTACGTTTGGTGATTTGATGTTTCCGTGTAGGAGTTTAGCACCAGTTGCAGAATGGATGTGTGAAATTCCTCTTGCAGCTCCTAAACAGATCCTCAACCTTGTTTCCCAGTCTAACGCCGCTCTTCCTCCCTCATTACTTCCTGCATAATATTCATCGGAAAACGTTACTTTTAAAAAAAATTACTTTTTGTAATCGCAAATAACATGTGAAACACCATCATTACCATGAAGAAGCATGGAGAAATTGCCCCCTTGGTAGTAATCATACACGAGCAGTTTCTCGTCTTTTGAGAAGTAGTAAGCACGGAGAGGAGCTACATTCACATGTGGGCTAATCCTTCCCACAGCTTCCATCTGCTGCTCAAATTCCCTTTTCCCAGCTGCTACTTCTTTTAGCCTCTTCACCACCACCGTGGTTCCTTCCTCTAAGATGGCCTTATAAGTTGTGCCATAGCTTCCTTTTCCTAAAACTTCAGCCGAAGCTCTGAGCAAGTCTTCAAGATCAAAGTTGTATGAACTTCCTTCAAAGAAGACCAGCTTGTTCTTCTCCGCCTCCTGCACCCCACTCCCAAACTCTTCGGCCTTGTTATCACTCCTCCCCGGTTTAGCTTTTGGCACTGCGGTGCTGTCTTGCCCGCCATCTCTTTTCTTGGCACAGCAAAGGGTTATGATGGCAAGAATGATAAACAACAGAATCGAACCTCCAACTGCAATGCCGACAATAGCTCCAGTAGAGAGAACTCTTTTGGTTGAACCAGGACTTTTGGCTGAACCAGGACTTTTGGCGGGTGGAGTCGGGGCAGGAGATGGTGCAGTGGTGTTCTCTGAGCACGGAGATAGAGGACCGCCACATAAAAGGCTATTACCTTGAAAGGAGGATGCTGGGAAGGACTTGATAGAAGATGGGACTGAGCCGTTAAGGTTATTGTAACTGACATTGATGTATTTCAGGCTAGGAGGGAGGTCAGGGATTGGCCCACTGAGAGAATTGTGTTGTAGGCTGAGATCGGTGAGCTGAGTAAGGTTTCGTAGAGTCGTGGGAATGTTTCCCGATAGCGAGTTGGTGGAAAGATCAAGATTAACAAGGCGACGAGAAAGAGTGGGAGGGATAGTGCCAGAGAAGTTATTGTCATGAAAGTAGAGCGATCGGATAAAAGGAAGAGAGAGAATGGCAGATGGAATGTTCCCTTGAAGGTTGTTGGATCGCAGGCTAATAATCCTGAGAGCATCAAGCTTCTCAAATGTCTGGTCTGGTAAAGGTCCATATAGTCCAGATCCAGGCAAACGGAGTGCGATAACGCGGGCGTTGTTCTTGGAGCAGGTGATGCCGGTCCAAGATGTGCAGATTGGATTGGTGGTGTTCCAGTTGAGTTTGCGACTATGAGGAACGAGAGATGCAAACTCAAGCAGTGCTTGCTTGTCTGAGTCTATGTCTGCAGACAAACAATGGGAAACAAAAGGCGAGACCAAAAGGAAAATGAAGGCCGCAACAATCACCATTATCAGTCCTTTGAAATACTCTTAGGCTCACTCACATAAAAGTGTTCTCATTCACCTGCAACTGCAAGAGAACACAAAACAAATCAAGTTCTGATTCAACAGTTAAGTTCTAAATTAAGAATTGTATCTATAAAAAGTAGCCAAGAATGTCACCGACAGTTCACAGGTATCAACACAAACGAACACAATGGAAAGCTTCCTTAATAATGAATGTCATCGGTGGTAACAAGAACTAAAAAAAGTAGTTGTAAAGAGAGATACCAAAACGTAATCAACTTCCCCATAAACCAAAAAAAAAAAGCAAAAGGTTTTAGGCGATTTCTCTCACGAACCATAGTGAATTAGTGGGAATGATGGTAAATCCAATGCGAAATTACTCGATTTATCAATCAAAACCAGAAATTATGGAAGCTTTATGCACACATTCATTCAATGCCAGCGAGTGGGTTATCACTCAAAAGGGTACAAGAATTCTCGAGTAGAAATGGTTATACGCAATCATAAAAATAAAAACCCAATTAGAAAGTTGCTAATTTTAGAAACGATTAGTAAGAGAAATGTGTGCCCAGATCTGCAATCTACATGTGAACATTATAAAAACTAGGGTTTCTCCAGCTAGCGAAATGGAGAATTCGAAATTGAAAACGAAGAAATCTTTTAGGAGAAAGAATTAAGAAGCGGAGCTAAACCAAAAACAAGAAGAAAACAAAAATCGAGAGAGAGAGAGAGACCTTTGAGGTGGGTTGAGACGAGAATCCTGAAGAGAGGCGTTGGAAGCTGATCGTAGAAGACGAGTGAGAGTAGAATAAATGCAAAGGAAGGGGATAGTGGAGAAATCACTTTTTAACAACGGCATTTCGTGAAGAAGAAGCTTGAGAGAAAGGCAAAAGCGGAAAAGAGTGAGGAATCTGGAATCGCCATTGCTGCAGATTCAGTGACCACCAAGTGATGAACAGTCAGAAGAGAGAGAAAGAGAAAGAAAGTAGAGATTTTTGAGAGATGCAGTTTTGCTAAAACTTTGGGTTTCTGGTGAAGAGCGAAAGAGTATGGAAGCTTCGGCGTGACGCCAACGGAGAAACGTAAATCTCGATGATCAGTTTCAGATGCCAATCTCTCTCTCTCTCTCTCTCTCCTCTCTTCTCCTTTTCTTCACTTGCGATTTGCTTTGCTCTTTGGCTTAATGCCTTTGACTCTCTTCCGAATTTTTTTTTCTTATTTTATTTTAATTGGTAGCTATATTATTTGTCCTTTTGTTAATTTCTCTTTGTTTTATCCTAAACGAATTAGCTTTTATTAAGGGCGCATTTACGATCTACAACTGAATTCCCAACATTGAAGTTTCTTTTTCTCTTAAAAATCAGTAATAATTCTTGTATTGAACCGGTCAGTGATCTCTTAAATGTAGTACACTATATGGCTTCTTAACGAAAAATTCTGGAATCTTTTGTAAAAATTTATAAATGAATGAGATTCCAGAATTTATGGAATTTAGAAAAGAAAAAAAACCAAAAAAAAAAAGAAAAAAAAATTATTGGAAGGAGGTTGGTATGTGACATAAATGAGATGATGATATAGGAGTAACATTGAAACTACAAAATTGAAATCTCTTATAAATATCAAATATGTCATTTAATGAAAGTCAATTTTTGGAATTTAGAAAAGAAAAAAACCAAAAAAAAAAGACACCACTGGCGTTGTTGGTTGTGCTTCGCTGTTACCCATTATTAACTGAGCTCCTTCTCTGATTCACGTTAAGCGCGTGAACCTTTCTTTCCTCTTTCACATTCTAATTGTTTCCTTCAAGAATCAAGATCCTTACATTATAAAAGTTATAATATGAGAGAATTTGAGGTCCCACATTACGTTACCAACTCTTCAAATATTATATAACTACAAAGTTACAAACCTCACTCAAGAACCAAGAATCAAGAATCAAAGAACCACTAGAGCCTTATATCGGATAACCCGCCTCTTTCCGCACCATTGACAAGCAAACAAATTGTGTAAGATAAATATATAAATAAAAGACAAGTGGTTTTAGAAAGAAAAAAAAAGTTGTTTGCTTTTGGTGTGTGTGTGTGTTATAGTGGGCCGAAAGGCTCAGGAAGCAGCTCGAATCCTCCATTGTCAAACATGAGTCCGTGATCTGATGACCTATCATCGATGCTATGTAACCAGTTTGTGTTCTTGACGTCTTCTTTCAGCAACAATGCGTCATACCTTGAGCTCTCATACATGTCCATGTCGCTCAACTTTCCCATCAGTCTTCTTCCCTCGTTTGCTTCATTCCCGTTCTCTGCACTGTTGCTGCTGATAGAATCCGAATGGTTATTCCCTGAACGGATTGGCTGGATCTTGGACGAGGCTTGTCTTATGCTCTGAGGGAATAACGTCGTGGTTGATAGTGCGCAACCGTTTGACTTCCCATTTCTTATGTCCTATATACACAATCAAAATACTGAGATATTTACAGGGTGATACACAAGTCACTTGCTCCTTAGTAAGAAGATATAATAAACATACCATGTGCCTAATGGCCATGTCAAGTGAACTTTTTGAGAATGACCTCCCAAGGCCGTTGTTATTGTCTGTGACAACTGAAGAAGTCTTCAGGGTTCTCCGTGAAGTTACGTCTGAAACGTTTGAAAGCCTTCGGGGCTCTGGTGCATCTGTGTAGTGCTGCTGTCCATTACCACCAAAACGGCCTTTTCCTTGGGTCTCAGTGAGTCTTCCTCTCGTGACAACAGGAGATGAATTCCTTCTTGTCATGGGCCCTTTGGGTTCTGGACTTGCCTTTGCCGTGCTGCTACCAGAGACTGGCCTGGACCTGCCAGCTGATATTGGTCTGTCCGGGAGAGTTGTTCTGAGATTAGGTGGTGTATCAAGAGGGAAGTCTGCTAGCACAATTGGCTGTTGCGGGGTGGTCCGGACTCTAGGTCCAGGAGAGCTTGGCCTAGACAATGAAGGTGCCGTACGACCATTCGGTGCAACACGTCCACCTGAAATATTGGATCCTGAAGCTGCAGATACCGAGGTGGATGGACTTCGACGGCTAGGGGTTGAAGGACGAGAATTTGGTCTAGAAGCAATTGTGTTTTGGGAGTTTGCTGAGAGCTGCGGCCTAGAAGTTGGAGTCGATGGTCTTGAGCTCAGGGACGGTCTGGCCTTGTCCATGGATGAACTAGATGAGCCTGGACGGATTCTCGACGGAGTTGAGGCCCGTGATACCGAAGAAGTACGGGTGGGAGTGGAAGGTCTAGCTGAAGATGACGAACGGGAACTCGGGGAAGAAGGCCTAATGTAGGATGAGACTGAAGCTGAACTAGTATTCAGGATTGAAGATGGTGAACGGCCTGAAGTAAATGAGCTGTATTGTGAGGTAGAAATGGATGGGCGAGTCACGGAGCTACTTCTAGCCGGGCGTGAGGAATGGTAATTGCTCTCTGACTGTGAAACCGAAAGCTGTAAAAGGAAAAAAACAAAAAGAAAAGCTTTCGTATATGAATAAGGTAATGCAGTTTTTATTTTAGGAAACTTTTGCGTCATAGAGAAAAAAGAAAGCTAACTAGTTATAGTTTATACCCTCGATGCCTTTGAGGCAGAACTGGCTCTAGCGGAAGAAGTAATCTTTGGAGCTGCCAAAGATGAATGGGACTCGCTTCCAAGAGGTGTTCCAGGAGGAGTAAGAAGCCTAGAGAAAACATGAATGTGCCAAGAGATGAAAATGCGTCAGTTCCTAACATAATTTTGACATTCCCGAAGGCAACAGATCAACACTCTCAAGTGCAGGTAATCAAAAGATCGACATTGTGAAGTACGTAAATGAGCCACTGTTCGATTGGAAGCACAAAGATATGCAAAGGAGAGAGCAAGAAACTCGGCGGAAACTTACCAATCATAATCATTTTTTCCTCCTTCAGCTGAGGACAAGAGATCATCGCCTTTGCCTCTGGGAGCTGGTTTTGATCCGACCGAGAGTCTCCCGAGTTTTGCAGAAACTGGAGTTAGAAAGAAAAAGACGTTGAACGCAGAGATTTAGTGTAAATAAACAAAGGGATCAAAAGTGAAGAGGCAGAACAAGATCCAGCAATTCTCCATTGGTCCCAAAAGTACTATTTTTTTTTTTTTTAAGATGGGGCTGTCTCTCAAATAACTGTAATCGAGAAAGCAAAGAGATCGAATCTAGGAGACGAAGACAGTTCGAGAATTTAGTGTAGCGACCACCACTGAGCAATTAATTAAGTAGAGTGAACATCGTTTTCGACTACAAATCGGACAACTATGTCTCGTAGCAGCAAATTCGGAGATCCCCAGATATATTTAGAAATTCTAGTGTAAAATACTATAGTCATCGAAGCGAGACAAGAAATCGATTTCACAAAACTCTTAAAAACAAAGAAAAGGGAGAGTGAATCTGAAACGAACCGTCGGGTAATTCGTCGGAGGAAGCCAAGGGGAAGGAGCGACGGATCTTAGAGAAGAGATCCAGATTCTCATCGGAATCTCTAGAGAAGCTGTTTTGAGGGATGTTGTTGCTGCCTCTGCGGAACTGAGAGATAGCCGGAATATTCCTTCCACCGGCAAGAGATTCTCTGAGATTCCTATTCATTGTCGGAGGAAAGAGACAGAGAGAGACGACAGAGAAGCAAAAGAAAAAAGCCGAATCAAGGCTGTATGTGAAGAGTTTGCTTACAATCTACGCCATTGGAGGAGGAAAGAGATTCAGATCTAAGACACAAAAGGCAAAATTGTATAATGTGTCACTTCCAAGTTGTTGAGGGCTAATTGTATATCTAAATGTTATCACGATGCATGTTCATCTTTCTTCAATCATGCGCCATTTTTTTCTTTTATTAGTATATATAAAAATTATTTATGAGGCGGAGAAAGGAAGGTAGTTTCCTAATTTCTTGGTCTATGTTATAAGAAGAATTATGAATGTGTATGCGTTACTCCCCACGTGGTCTTCTTCTCTTTCTATATTTTTTTCCTATTTGGGTCACTCTACTAAATACAGTATTGAGAAGCTGAGCTTCAACCAAATCTTTAAATACTTTAGTTATTACAGATGATGTAGAACTACATTTACGAAACCCATAAAAAACAAATTTAACAGTCGATCTGTTATTACGGTTTACCAAATATTCATTAACCATTCCTTATGATTTTACAACAACAAAAGCCATTTTTGTTAGTGATTGTTCTTTGATAATCATGAATAACTGCAGTTGGTTACTCGTGATAAAATATCTTATTGATATAGTATTTTTTTTTTTACAGAAAGAATATGTGTTGGTCTGTATAGAAGAAAGCTTTTTATTTTTAATCCCAAACCAAAAAAAAAACATTTATACAATGTGGATAAAGACGGGTTGGACCCAAATCCCAATTATACCCATGTTTTCCTTGTTCTTTTATAGGCTGAAAACGATTCCTCCTTTATTCTATAATGGGCCTACTTCCAGCCCATTATACCACCCTCTACATGTGACTTGTCTGTTTAGATAGAACGTTGACGTTTCACTATTTACGAGTTGTCGTCACCTTATTCATCCATCCATCATCTACGCCCTTCTACTTGTTTTTTTCTCCGACTGTCCGACACCGACCTCGATTTCCGGTTAACCTTCCGTCGGTTTTCACCACCGAAAATCGCAATCTTTCCGATCCCTTTGGACAGAGACGTGAAGAGTGTTCCACCGTTATTACCAGACTTATCCATCATCATCCCCTGTTTCATCAAAACTTGCTCTTTCTCTACCTCACTCACTCTCACTCTCATCCTCGCTATCTCCAGCTTCAGCTCTCTGTTCTCTCTCCTCAACGATGCATAGGTATCTCTTCGAGGCGAAACCGCTCCGCTTTGTAATCCAGACGACAAATCCAACAGCCCTTCCTCTGAATCTCCCGACAGAGCCTTCTTTAGTCTCCTCTGTTCCGAATACAGCACTCGAACAACCATTTGTACCGGAAGTCGATCGTTTTGTGCCACGTGGTTGCTCGCTTCTTGTGAAAGTTTGCTGCAGTCTATGAATTTGCATAGTTTCTTGCACTCTTCCTCTGTTAATGACGGATGAGCCTAGAAATTCATTCTTTTGATTATTAGTCTCAGATGTTTCCAAAACATAAAAGAAATTGTTTGATTAATTTACCTTGAGATACATATCAATGGCTCTGTAGATCCCATCGTCTATGATCCGTGCGTAGTCAGGTAATCTCTCTATAATAGCTGTGAATTTGTGTAGACTCAGGTATGGATCCGGTGCGATCTCAGCCAAATACGCATCCATGATCCGTCCCACTTTCAGCAACGAACCGTGGTGACCCGTGGAATCTGAATCGTAGCCACTGTCCTCATCTTCTTCCTCAATCCTCTCAAGAAAACATGTAAGTATCCTATGGACAGTATCCACATCGTACAGAGAATCTTCGTTTTGTGCAGAAAGTATAAGCAACTCATCGAGAGATACGGTCTCTAACTGCTGACCGATTCTGCGTTCGAGCTCGAGCCTGCAAGAGATATCTATATCTATTGTAATTCCGAGTTTTAACATCCCAAAGAGGAAACTGAGAGGAGTAGCTGATAAAGAATAAGATCCCTTCTTGTCACTCGGCAAAAGGGTAACAATGGCTTCAATGATTTCCCTCTGCTCTTGGCAGTTCCGATTGATGGTACCCTTTAATGATTCCTGAGCGTAATGCATCAGAGAAGCGACGATACTCTCTGGTCGCACGCCTGTTCTCGCCATCGCAGAGACCACTCGGGTGTAGTAAACAATCCCGAGAGCAGAGAGTTCTTGGATCCAAAACTCAAGGCAGTTTCTCCCTTTGAGCTCCTCTGATAAACCCGCTACTAACTGATCCCTGCAAGCATTCATGGCTATGGCCTCCACGCACCGGTCAGTAATCTTGAACGTTTCAGCCAATTCTTGCGTCTCGCAGGAGCAGAGCACGTGGACGGATTTGCTGAGACTGCGAAAAGCGACCTGGTCGAGGTAATTCTCGGTTCGAGCGATCAGATTCTCTTCAATATAGTCTTCAGTCATCTCTAAATAACCTGCAGCGCAGCGGAGATTGACCACATTGGAGACGGTGATCTCGAAGTTGATGCCGTAGCAGAATTTCATGGCGAGTTCGAATGTCAGAGGTCCACCAGGGAAATCTCTGAGCTCGATCGTAGAGAAGATACTGGAAGAAGAAGAAGAAGAAGAAGAGTCTTTGGAATCTCTCACCATTTTCCTCATCTTCCCACACCGAGCTACTAGTGGAAACTGCAATATTTTTGCGTTTGTTAAAAAAGTGAAAAAGGAGAAGAATTTCGTCGAACAACATGTGTACACTAACCTTATGGAGTAGAAAAGACTCTCCATCGACAACAACGGTGATGTCTCCCGCAACATCAGAGAAAAGGCTGCAATTTTTCATAAAATCAAAATCAAAAATCGTTATTTCGTTCATATGAGCAAAGTGAATACAGTACAGCAAAACAGAGACGACGAAACTTGGGATGTAGAGAGGACAAACCAGGTGGAGAATCTAGGAGGAACAGAGGAGCTACTGTTACAAGGAGTAGTAGAGGAAGAAGAGAGAGACAAAGGTCTGTTTGAAATACCGCTCATCGTAAATCACTATCTCAATCTCCAGATCGCCGGGAGACTCGTTTTTAAGGGAAAAAACACTGTTTTGGAGATTTTACAGACAAATCTCTCTACTTTTGCTTTGTGTGCAGACACAGACACTGCCGCATTCTTGACAAGTAAGAAAGTGTATAAGAGAGAATAAAGATTCTCGAGTGTTGTGGAGGAGAAGCCTTTATTTAAAATAAAAAAGCATAACCGGGAATAGTTTTGATCATCTTGATTTTGAGAAGTAAATACTTTCCTATATCAGATGTTAAAAGAATAAAAAACTAATCAAGCCGAATCTTTATAATTTCTGAAAGTTAAATAGTAGTTCCCTAAAATCGCTGTAAAATGAAAAACTAAACCAAGTTCAAATTTTGTTAATATTGCTCTTTTTTTCGTCATTGCCGGCTTAAAACTTGACTCGTTCTTGTTTGGGTCGAGTATATTCTCTTCTTCTTCTTTTTTTCCTCATTCTTCTTTTGGAGTATATTCTTGTCGTGAAAAGTGTATATTTTGGTTAACCATGCGAGGAGTTGAATAAAAAATCTCTCACTAGCATGATGATTGTTTCATATTGCCATGATTTGTTTTTGTGTTCTCGCCGCTACTCTAAATTATCGGAAATTTTTAGGCGACCTGACTTTCCCGTTTTTTTAATGCTATGATGCATTTTCTCAATCACATATTCTGCAAAATCACCGTGACATACTGACATTAACATATGATTCGAGGCACGTGAGAAAAGCCAAAGAATGTGTGGCACGGAACTCCATAAAGCTCCACTCCATTATTGTTCTATCTTGACGACACATTCCTTTGACTGCATCTCCATTATCCTGCACCAATTTCAAAGTAATATCACGTTACTTAAAACCATACAATGATAAAACCAACTTGTTACAGCAAAAATTTATTACCTTTTTTGGTTTTGAAAAATGGATTGAGAATTGAACAAGCAATTCGTTGCCAGACCAAAACCCACCATAGAAAGCTAAACATAATTATGTGATATAGAAAGCAACACGTAACCAACTTTGTCGAATGGACATGTATATAATTGAATAGCCTGAGAAACTACAACAAGAACGTACCCAAAAAAACACACTCACTGTTCGATTAAGTGATTGAGAACTTGAGATATCTTTCCCAAAAGTAGATCCTTTAAACTGTCCTTTGCTATTTGTTGCTTCTTCGTTGGTGGGTTTTAGTCTGACAACGAATTGCGCTCAATTTTCAGTCCATTTTTTTAACCATAAATTGCTAATAATAATTGCAAGGATATTCTCAAATTTAGTTACCAAAAAAAGAGATATTCTCAAATTTGTATGAGATTTGAAAATTTAATCTTGGTTTGAAAATTTTGAAAAAATTAGAATAACATAATATTTAAACTGATGCCGACATAATCACAAAATGACTCATTATTCTAATCAAATCTTTGTCGTTTAAATATTTTGAACGATTTAACAAAAACTAAAATAAGAGAAAATGTAAAGTATAATGTCCACATCATCACAGAATATCTCAGGTCAATTTCACACGACCAACTCTATGTGGCGACCATAATTTTCAAATATTACTAAGAATAATATTATTAAAGGAGCAATTCTTTTACATATTTTATATACGTAGAAATTTAAAGTTAGTAAACTTAATTTTTTTTTTTTAAAAGTCCATTCCACATTCGTAAGGTGCGTGTTAAAATCTAGCATTAATCACTGGACATGTTATTCTTATATTCAAGGAGATAGCTATCCTGTAATCAAATGTTACATTTGGTGATTTTGCTTTGTTGCGGTATGGATAAAATTTGGTTTCTTATATTCGAATTTGTTATTTTTTTTTAATCTGTGAGAATTTTCTCGTCATTTTTGCTGTAAGAACCTGTATATGCATAATGCATTCGTATTTGCATAATGTATTCTTAATATAATGTACTGCTGTCCAGGGGAAAAAAATATACTGCTTCTCCACAAAAAAAGTATAGAATATATCATTTTTAATTTATATACAGCAGATGTGAACTCACGATTAGCTCAGATCTAACCAAACATACTGGCCGTCAATTTCATCTTTTACAGAATGACTGACACTTTTGGGAGATTTAGCAAACTCGAGGGTCTTACTTACAAATGATTTAGTAGAGAGATTGAAAAATGTATAAATTTAAGGGCTTTTTCTTTCAACAAAAGTTGACTTCCATGTTTTATCCCAAAGTCTCCTAATTTTTTTTTTCGGGTCTAAAGCTTTTCATCCTTTGACCACATCCCCAAATTCTTGATCATCCGCTGGAGTTTTGCTCATGTGCAAGGAATCCAACAATTTTGCCTGTGCTGGTAAGTTCTGTGTTCCCGCTTCTCTACTGGCATTGATCTGGATGCTCTAAATAGATCATGTAGGTAGATCGAATCGTAAATTTCTGCAATTGGGTTCGCAAATTGTAATTTGGTAACCGATTTTCAGAATTGCATTTGTTTCCGAACAATCTATGTCACCGATAGCAATTGTTGATTTTTTGTTCTGGGTTTCCTTATGTTACTCAGTTTTAGGTTTTGGATGATAAGATTTTATTCTTTTTATTTGGTAATTGTTTAATGCGTTTATACTAGTTCTATTTAAGTTAATTTCACCAAAGTAAGATCTTTTTGGATCAATCTAGTGTATAGGAACATAATCGTGTACGTTTTGTCTATTAAAGTTGATGAGTTTGAATTCCGTTTTAGTGATCTATTAAACGCGGCATTGAATTTTTCTTCCCAATGTTGCTGAGTTGAAATTCGTTCTTGTCATGTGTTAAACAGGAAACAGTTACCTCCTCTTGATGCAGTTTTGACTCTAAAAAGCCTTGGAGTTTATTTGATCTCCTATAAATTAGTGAGGTTTTCTCTAATCTCTTGTAAAAGAGAAAACCTGCTTGAAGATCTTTCAGCATCAAAATGATGCATTCAGGCTGCAAACAACTTCTGCTGCTTCTGTTCTTATTTGTCGTTGTATCTATTGGGAACTCTGACGCAAATTCTCAGTGGGAAATCTCACATAAAGTAAGAGCTGCTCCTCATGTAAACATGGGACGAAATGTTATAGACGGAAGTGGTGTAGAGAAAACCTTACATGACATTGGAATGGGTGAGAAACGAGGCAGTCACAACAAAGTTTCAGTCTCAACAGTTGCATTGTTCACCTTGGCAATGGCTGCGGCCACTGGATTAGGTGCAGTGCCCTTCTTCTTTGTTGAGCTTGATCCTCAATGGGCTGGAATCTGCAATGGCATGGCTGCTGGTGTGATGTTGGCTGCTAGCTTTGATCTTGTGAAGGAGGGGCAGGAGCATGGTTCAGGAAACTGGGTTGTAACTGGGATTCTAGCCGGTGGTTTGTTCATCTGGCTCTGCAAACAGGTAACTTGGAACTGATTCTTTAGCTGTCAATCACCAAGTTATTGATTTGCATGATATTTTTGAAATTATATATCATGTGTTGACAGTTGATAGAAACCTATTTTTCGTTTCCTCTTATCATTAACCTCAGACAGAGTTGTAGAATATTTTAACGTTTAACTCAGTACGCCGATAAATTCTTGTTTTTTTTTTTAGTTTCCTCTTACATTAGCAGCTTCCAAGCTGCATGAAATCTCAGAATCACTTTATCAATAAAACCCTGTTTCTTGGACAGTTTCTTGAACAATATGGTGAAGTTAGCATGCTGGATATTAAAGGGGCAGATGCAGCGAAAGTTGTTCTCGTCATAGGAATTATGACACTTCATTCTTTTGGGGAGGGATCAGGGGTTGGTGTATCGTTCGCTGGTTCAAAGGGCTTTAGTCAAGGGCTTCTGGTCACTTTGGCCATAGCCGTTCATAACATTCCAGAAGGGTTGGCTGTTAGCATGGTGCTTGCATCAAGGGGTGTCTCTCCACAAAATGCCATGCTCTGGAGTATAATAACATCCTTGCCCCAGGTAATATATTATGTGATTTGATGTCTTTGTTTACAGAACAGTTAACTTATTCTTTTTTTTTTTCTATGTATCCTTTACCAGCCTATAGTCGCAGTGCCAGCTTTTTTATGCGCTGATGCGTTTAGCAAGTTTTTGCCCTTTTGCACTGGATTTGCAGCTGGATGTATGATTTGGATGGTTATTGCTGAAGTGCTTCCTGATGCATTCAAGGTGAATTGCATTGCATGTGCTGATTTATGAAGTCAATGGTGATCTTCGTATTTGAGGAAAATGCGGATTTCGCTAAGTATACTGACTTATTTTTCTTCTTTATAACCACAATAGGAAGCGTCTCCGTCGCATGTGGCATCTGCAGCCACAATATCAGTAGCATCCATGGAAGCTCTTAGCACTCTATTCGAGAATTTCACGCATGATTACAAGTAAAACAATGGAGTTCTAGTAATAGTTATACGCTGATGCATTCGATTGGTTCTTATATATAACTAAGGCTTGTTTTTCTCTAATCTGCAGCTCAGAGGATGCTTCTGGCTTCTTCGTTTCACTCCTCTTTGGCCTCGGTCCATTGCTTGGGGGCGTATTTCTGGTTGGATCGGCACTAACCTTCCGTCTCCAGCACGCCCTTCTGATGGGAGTAGCCTCAGGCATTGCCTTTGTCCTCGGTCTTTGGCGTCCGCTTCAGTTGCTGCTATCCGCAAAAATGGGATTCATCCCTCTGGTTAGTCTACTTGCAGTTGGAGCAGGACTGGGCCACTTTGCGAGCTCGGCCATCCTGAGTGTAACTTGCCGGAAAAAGTCCCGGGCTGGCAGCATAATAAACCCAGTAACCAATTTTCCAACCAGTGTGATAACTCTCCAATCATTGTTAGCATGTGGAGCGGTTGGGTTCCACGCATTAGCCGAGGGGCTTGCTCTTGGGGTCGCTGCTCCAAAGGCTTATGGGCTGGGCAGACACATGGTACTCCCGGTTTCCCTACACGGGCTCCCAAGAGGTACAGCGGTTGCAAGTTGTGTCTTTGGGGCTACAGACAGTTGGCAAGCGGCTCTTGCAGCAGCAGCTTTGATTGGTTTTGTGGGACCGGTATCAGCCATAGGGTCCATACTAGCCGGGATAGATTACAGTGGACTGGACCACGTGATGGTGATTGCATGCGGTGGATTACTGCCCACCTTCTGGCAGGTTATTAAGAGAGCGGTGAGGTTAGAGAGAAAGAAAGGCAGCGTGGGGATGGTGCTGGGAGTAGCGTGTGCCGTTGTGTGTCTGACTTTCACTAGACTGGTCTGCTTGCACACGCCTTACTGCAATTCTGCACCAGAGGCTGTTAGATGATTTTTGATTGATTCATGAAAGCAAGTGCCTCCTCTTGACACACACACACACTCTCTTCTTCCGTGTTGTAAGATATTTAGGGTGATTGGAAAAGAGGGTGTCTTGTATGCTTGATTTGGATATATATGTTCTGGTTGAGATCTCTAGTAGATATGGGGCTTTATTTAGCTCTAAATCTATTGGAATCTAAAAAACAAAACAAAAAATAACTACACTTTGACAACTCCTATTTACTATTGCTTTGGAATTTCCCTAATTACATGAGATTAAACCCACAGATCACTCTTTTTTCTTGTCATTCGAAGTATTATTAACAGAACCAAGTAATGAAGCAAGATTAAGTGAAGACCAATTATCACTAACATCATCAACTCGCTCCCATTACACATAAACCCATTATTAATTAATTAACACATTCGTGATGGAAGACGCATCATTAGTCAAGTCATCCCTTTCCCCATCAATGCTGACCATTTCTTATGTTTTTTGACCTCTGATTTGTATACCAACCACCACCAGTGTCAACACGTCTTTTAGTACGATATCGTATATTTGTTTCAATTACTCGTGACCTCGTACCAATATTACGCATGTCCACAATATCATCTTTCACCAAAGTAGAACAACAAAAACATCTACAACAAAATGGCTAGAGCAGAAACAGAGCACCAGAGACAAGAGATGAAATCTTCAAGGCATGAACGCTCTTGTCACCGGACGAACCAAATGAATCGGGTTCGGCTTTCCAAGTCTCATGGTTCTTGCATTACAAGCAACAAAACAGAAAAAAAGTTCAGGGAGTGTTTATAAATGGATCATCTTTTGACTGCGTAATAAACAGAGAGCTTTCTCTTACACCTTCCTTATCTTGGGTATTCTCTGAGAATAAACGAATTTAAGAAACTTAGTTTTCAAAGCATTCACAGAATTCGATGGATGTGGAATGAACAATTAAGTAAGTACATGTGCGGTAAGTAAACCATTCGATCATCATTCGTAATTTAAAACCTTTATATATTGATTTTTATTATCTTGTTGATAGAAAAAAGAACAAACTTAGCAGAAGAAATGGCCCAAACAATGAAATCCAAATATTAGGATGAACCTAAAAAGGGAGTAGTCTTATTTAATCGTAAACATAAAAGAACTAAGTCTCATGCTTTTTTGTAAGAAAAAGGTTTCAACTCTAGATGCCCCTCTTTTGTACCTATGAACAAGGGAAAACAAAGAGGAACTCCAAAAGATTCTGATGAGATTCAAAGATCCTTGTCCTTGACTGAAATCTCCGTCGTCTCCTCCACTGAAGTCTCTGTCTTCCCTTCAACCGACTGTGATCCAGTCATCCTCGCCAAGACAACAAACGACATTCCTCCGACAACATTGTTCACACACCTCAAAACCACCACACCTGTCTTAAACACCATAGGAGGCAACGCCTTGGCAAGCAAGAACTCAACACCATTCAACGTTTGGTACCTCACATTGGCGCTCACTCCCATGTGCGTAGCCCAAGTTAGTGAATTCAGCACAGTCGGTGGCGGTTTGTTCGGCGTTTCGAAGCTCGGGTCCATCTTCTTCCTCAACATGATCAACCCATTAGAGATAGCGGTTCCCACAAGACCTGCAGCTAATCCCACAGTCGCAAAAACCATTCCTTTGTACACAAGAGTCCCGAAACGGTTCATAACGGTGAAGCTTCCCTGTTCAAACATATGGCTTGAAGGGCAGCTTCTAAAGATTCCAGGTAAGCTCTGGGAGGAGCCAATCGTTGCTGCGGTGGGTGCTAAGAGGTACATGAGTGTGAAATTCAGAATCGAACCTACAACGAGAGTGGAGAAGACGAAATCGAGCTCGTTTAAACCGAAGTTTGGGCGTGATGCCATGTCTCCAAGGACACAGGCGCTAACTCCAACAAGCTCTTCCATGAGTACCTTGAATGGGAATTGAGGATCAGCAGTAACTCGCGATCTCCATCCTTGGAGGAACATACCTATTGGCCCCAATGAAGACGATTCTTCTTTGCCTTCTCCGCCGCCGCTTGAACCTCCATAACCATCTCCTCCTCCGCCGCTTCCACCGCCTGAACCTGGATTACCGAAGTTTCCACCACCACCGGCGCATGGAATCGCGAGATTTGGGGAAGAGAAGTTGGTGTGGAGTGAGCAAACTGATCCATTTCGTGGAAACGAAACGACAAGCCTTGGATCGCGAGAGAGGTTGATTGATCTCGGCGAAGGCACACTGCTCTGATTCGATTTCGCCGACAATTGAAGACGCGCAATAGCAGCCATCTTCTCAACGGAAGAATCTGTGCTCCTCTTCGAAAATCGAAAAATGGCTTTGGGACAGAGACACGGTAGAAACAGTGTGTTGGTGGAAATCCGAAATTGGAGCCTCGTCCGCCTTTTTAAAAACCCTAATTGTTTACAACAATCAAAAACTCAAAATATCGGCCCATTTCCCACGTGCGGAAACTAAAGCAGGTGTCTGAGCCCCCCACGTGCCACAACACTCAACTACTTCACCAACAAAACATGTTTGAGCTGACCCACACCACCGCTGTTGATTTTTCTTCACTTCTTTGTTTCGGACAAAGGCATTCAACTTTCAATGTTTTTTTTTGTAGGATGAAACTACGGAACTGGAAGCTACTACATTAAATTCATATATGTACTACCACAACTTGCTTACATGAATGAATCCAAAGAATGTATCTTTTAATCCAAAGAATGAATCCAACCATCTACCACGGCTATTTTCACATTCTTTCATGTTTTTGTGTCTTTTCCAGTTTAGGAAGAAAACATGAGAAACTCAATTGGGCTTTTCTGCTGAATCATTGTGGATCAGAGGGTTAGCAGAAGAACCATGATTGAATCCAAAGAATTCATGTGTTGATTCAATCCATTTGTTAAATGGGTTAGACTCATACCATAACCCATTTAACAATCAATCTATTGGAGTCATGTAGATTTGCTTGGGCTAGATTATCTCTGTCTCTTTTTGACATAACAAAACATCTCTAATGGATCTCTTGTCGGACTGACGTTTACATGTCCGATAATTAAATCATTCAATCTTCTTCACTCTGATAAATAACTTGTTTTAGCATTTTCTTGGTAATGTTGATAAAGAAAACAGCAAACTTGGTAGTAGGATTGGCCCTAACAATGACATAGATGTATTAGGATTGACCCAAGAAGGGATACGTCTTTATTTAATCCAACACATAGGAGAACAATGTCTTCTGCTTTTGTAAGTAAGAACGTGAAAAAGGTTTCAACTCAAGAAGATGCCTCTTGCGTCTCCTACCTATGAACACCAAAAGAGGAACCAGAAAAAAAAAAAAAAAAAACTCTATAAGAGGAGACAAACTCAATCATCTTTCTCCTCCACTGAAATCTCTGCCTTGTCCTCCACCGACTGTGATCCAGTCATCCTAGCCAATACAACAAACGACATTCCTCCAAGAAGATTGTTCACAACCCTCAAAGCCACCACACCTGTCTTAAACACCAATGGAGGCAAACCCTTAGCCATCAAGAACTCAGCCCCGTTCAACGTTTGGTACCTCACATTGGCGCTCACTCCCATATGAGCTGCCCAAGTTAGTGAATTCAGCAGCGTCGGTGGCGGTTTGTTCGGCGTTTCGAAGCTCGGGTCCATCTTCTTCCTCAGCATGATCAACCCGTTAGAGATGGCGGTTCCCATTAGACCTGCAGCTAATCCCACACTGGCAAAAACCATTCCTTTGTACACAAGAGTCCCAAAACGGTTCATAACGGTGAAGCTTCCCTGTTCAAACATATGGCTTGATGGACAGCTTCTAAAGATTCCAGGCAATAAATTGGAGGAGCCAGCAGATACTGCAGAGGGAGCTAAGAGGTACATGAGTGTAAAATTCAGGATCGAACCTACAACGAGAGTGGAGAAGACGAAATCGAGCTCGTTCAAGCCGAAGTTTGGGCGTGATGCCATGTCTCCAAGTACATTGGCGCTAACTCCAACAAGCTCTTCCATGAGTACCTTGAATGGGAATTGTGGATCAGCTGCGACTCGCGATCTCCATCCTTGGATGAACATCCCTATTGGTCCCCATGGAGACGATTCTTCTTTGCCTTCTTCACCGCCTGAGCCTCCATAACCATCTCCTCCTCCTCCTCCGCTTCCACCGCCTGAGCCTGGATTACCGAAGTTTCCACCACCACCGGCGCATGGAATCGCGAGGTTTGGGGAAGAGAAGTTGGTGTGGAGTGAACAAACGGATCCGTTTCGTGGAAACGAGACGACAATCCTTGGATCGCGAGAGAGGCTGATCGCTCTCGGCGAAGGCAGACTGTTCTGATTCGATTTCGCCGATAGATGAAGCCGCGCAATAGCCGCCATCTTCTCAACAAATCACTTGGAAATGGTGAATGGAGAAGTTGACCTGAGATCTGAGATCTGAGATATTTAGATGGAATCACGGCGTGCAGACAGAGAAGACACACACTGGCGAAAATAGGAATCTCGTCCACCTTTAAAAACCCTTTCTTTTCTAACTAAACGACAACCAAACTCAATTGGGGCCCACGCGAAACCAAAGCTTAATGTCTGAATCTGAGCAGGGAGCGCCACGTGCCACAACGATAAACTACTTCACCAACTACTTTCACCCACCACCATTGTTGATTTATTCTTTTATGGGATTCACTTCTTTTTTTTTTTTTCTTTTTTGGGACAAAAGTATAGCACTTTCAACGTTTTTATAGATGGGAACAACGTAAAGACACAAGCTTTTTCCCAGGACTACATAATGATCTCGTTGTTTGGACTCTTCTCTGTACTCAATTTGCTTACCAAAAGACAACAAAAGTCACAAAAACTTATTGCTGCCCAAAACATGGAATATACGTAATTAGATGTCCATTCCAAAATCAAGAACACTACAACTTCAACACATGAATAAATCCAAATAATCTATTTTAATGGTTACAATGCATCAACCGTCTAACGCTACTTTCACATTCTTTCTTTTCGTCTTTAATGATTTCCCCGGTTTAGGAAGAAAACATGAGAAACTGTTGGGCTTCTCTTGGTGCTTTGTGCTTAAGAATCACTGTGGACCAGAGAAGCAAAAGAACCAAGAGCAGACGCAACCAACACCATTAGGCCAGTTATACACATATACACACACTTTTATCAGTACCTCATCATGCTCTCTTAGCGTCCCGTTTTTGGGCGTTTCATTGCGTTTGAATTGAAAGGAGAGACACTACCGCTTGGACCTGGACTGTTTTCTCTCAAGTTAGAATTCAGCAAAGCGAGCTCTCGCAACTGCTGCCTCTTTATGTAATCCTGTGACTCATCCTGCAAAAAGAATACAAACCTTGTTATATGGGATATTGGAGTAGACTTGATTAACAATATTAGTTTCTGACTCTCGCCAAATTGCCAAACCAAGATCCTAGACCAATCCAGAAATCCCAAACAAATTTTCGCTCTCATTTAAAATCTTCAAAGCAACGTGGCCTCTCAAAAATATATTAAGAAGAAGTAGGCTAAAGCACATACCACAGGTTTGACCAACTCCTCGATGATTTCTTGGGCCTGCCGCAGCTTTATATCCACAATATCAACAGGAAGATCAGCCTCAATGAGGATATGCAGCTGCTCATTGAGATGCTCATAGCCAGGCTTCCCTTTCAGTTTCTCTTCCTAGCGCCAAATATATAAAAGCAAGAGATGAACAAAATTTGGATTAAACAATTAGGAAATGGAGGAAAATGAAGACATCTCTTACTTTGTCAGGGTCCTTAATTGATCCTTTCCCTCTAATAAACACACGGCAACCCGTAGTTGCTTCCACACGCTTCAACGAGTTCCCTCTAGGACCCAGAAGCCTTCCAACAAAATTGAACTGACAACCAAAAGCAAAAGACTCTCAAATTAATGGTTTTTACACCCGAGTTTCATTGTCTCAAGGAAATCAAACCTGGCGAAACTTACATTTGGAAATGTGTCGACTGGAAGATCTAAACGCAAGATACGCTTCACTGTGTATGAACTTGGGCTAGGAGGTGCACCTTGCCACTCCATTGCCATTCCATGAGGACCACCTATTCTCTACAAGAAATTAAAAAAAAAAGGTTACATTTGATTTAGAGTTCCAAAATGAGTAACAGGAAATGAAACACGGTACATCATCACAGTCTACATTAAGGGTTTATCAGGCCTCTACAAAAAAAAAGGTTCCACTTGGAGCTCCAATGGAATTTTCTATAAGGTATTACCTAGACTAACCATTTGTTTTTGGGCATACAATGACCAGAACTTCTAATTCTTGAATGTACACTGATTTATATAGGCTACAGATGGCACCACGTATTCAAACAAGGAGATGGAGAGCTAAACTCATACCTTATATTCCTTGCAGTAGGAATATTAGGCTCCTCCAACAATAGAATACGTAAGCCATCCCTACATAATTCATGTGCAAGTGGGTCTCAACCACAATCCTCTGTTAAGAAAATTTTCTATGTTCTATTAAGATAATTGGGGGTGAAAAGGACGCTTCTTTACCAAACAGATAAAGAAAAAGCTCTGACAAAACATAGAATTTGAAGGAAATCTTAGCATAAGAACACAGATAAGGGAAATTGGCTACCTCTGGTGGAAGACCATTCCAACCACCTAATCCAGCACCAGGAACATTAGACATATGATTTGGTGAAGCCATTGGACTAGGGCTTCGATGCCGCAGCCTATCAAAATCGGTAAAACCTTGGTTTGACATCATTCCACTAACCCGGAAAATCTCTGGACAACAAAAAAGGGAAAACAAAAATGTCACGATACCAATAAAAAAGGAGTAAGAACCAATGGCCGTAGACAGAAAAATATATACTTTAGGGTTAGCAAAATTAATCAAACAGAGAACAGATCACCAAATGGGACTGTAAATGTGTAGCAGTCAGCTTAATTTTTACCCACAACACCTATCGATTCATGGTTCATTAATTTGATAATCATTACATTTTCTTTCACCTGAATCTAGCTAACAAAGATGGAAGCTATACTACAAAAGCTAGTATAGCTTCATAAGTTATCAAGCAAAGCCACATAAGAAGTCCACTGCTTACACTCAATGGTGAGTATGAAGGACAGATCCTAATAGAAACTGAAAATTTACATGAAATTGTAGATCTAAGACGGAAGATATGAAAAGAGTGAGACCTTGATTTAAGAGTCGGCTACATATGGGTAAGACTTGCATGAAAGGTCCAAGCTTTTGATGTTCCGCTAACAACTGAGATAAGTACTGACTGGAGAAGATGAGCAAAGACAAAGACATGATTAGAGACAATAAGAGAGTTATATAGTTCACTGAAGAAGACATAAGAGAGCGAGGAGAAGTCGTAGAAGAAAGACCTGTCAACATCGGAGGTGGTTCTAATCTGGGGAGAAGCGGCTCTAGAAGGTGAGAAGCTGGGATTGTACAGACCAGACATGGCAGAGGGTTTTTTGCTCCACTGTCTTCACGCAATTTTCATGTACCAAATTTGGTTCTCGAGTTGTCTCCACCGAGACCATGTATATGATGTATCCATTTTTGAAAAAACAAAAAGAAAATGTTGGGCTTTGAGATCAAAACAAAAAGCCCAATTGTTTTTCAACTGAGTCTCGAACTCTCAAATCATTATTAGTTGGTTCATTTTGGATCTTTCATAACAGAGAAGAAGGAGAATCGAAGGAAGGAAAAAGGAGAAGACGAAGAAGATGTCTTTGGTGTGGCTAGAAGCGGCTCTGCCTCTCGGAATTATCGGAGGGATGCTTTGCATTATGGGAAACTCTCAGTACTACATCCACAAAGCTTATCATGGCCGAGTATGATGATTGTTCCCCTTTTTTCTTTCATTTCCGTCTCTCTCTCCTAGGGTTTTCACGATTTGATCCATTTGGATCCAGTTATACTAATGGGTAATTCATTCGGCGTTTGGTTTTGACGATTTGAATTTGGGATTGAGCAGCCGAAGCACATCGGCCACGATGAATGGGATGTTGCTATGGAGAGACGCGACAAGAAAGTCGTCGAGAAAGCCACAGCTCCTTCCTCATGATCCGCTTTCTTTTCAATTGTCCCTCAGGTCTGTGTTCTTTCTCTAATTTCTTATTCGATCCGCCTTCTCTGTGCTCTTTCTTAGTTTACTCTTCTTGGATATCGATGATATTGCTTGTTGCTTTCCTTAGGGAAGACTCACATAGAACTTTCTTTTTTCCATGAATTGAATATCACATGATAACCAGAACACCAGTTTTTGCTGTTTCACAAGCTGATAGTGTGCCAGTGAAGATTTAAATGTGTTATTGTGATCACTGAAAAGCTCTTTGTTTTGTGGGCTCTGGAAAATGAATATGGGTTAAGAGCTTAATAAGATATAGCTTACTGTATCAGTTATCTTAAGCACAAGCAGATGCGCCACTGCGTAGTTCTTTGTAAGTTTAAAGCATCAGGCTGCTGGTTTGTTTTTGTCCCTACTGTCTAGGAATGAATGAGATCCTGGTTTTGTTTTTTTGGAGCTGTTCTTATTCACTTTGTCATGTGAAGCTCTAGGGCACTGACTTTCTTTATTCTCCTGCTGCTTTCTATTTCTCCTTTTGGCTTCCGATGTAACTCTGAGTAAGATGTTGAAATGATATAGGGGCTTAAGGAGAACACTTGTGGTCACAAATAAAGTATATTCCAGAAGACGCAGCAGCTGGAGACTCTATTACTGTTATTCCCGTTTGATTTTTCTTGGAGACAAGTTCGGATAAAGCTTTGAAGCTAAAAAAAAAACCTTTCCTGCTTTCGAAATTCAGACCGTAATTACATTTGGTTTATAACATTTTTCTATTTTGTTTGTGTGATAAATGTTGTTTAAATTTCATGAGATTTGGTTTACAACTACATTCTTGCTGTGTGGATGTATGAATATCTTGAAAGATGGCTCATAGAAATCTTGACCAGTGCGAATAGAAAAAGGAATTGCCATCTTCAGGTGTGCGTTTTATAGCGGGGAGGAACTAAATTGACAGAGTGCGATGATAGATTAGATTAGAAAGGGGAGATTTTGAAGATACTTTGAGAGTTCAATGAAGCTTGTGATGATGATCACATGGTTTTATGACTGTGGCTAATAATGGAGGAGGATGAATGAGGTCGGTCAAAGCCTCTGTCTCTGCTTGCAGATTCACATGGGGTCCCCTCGCTATGTCCCTTTCAAGTGGGCTCATCTCTTAAATCTTCTTCAAAATGGTCCTCTCTTGTAACGAAACCCCTTTGATTTTTTAATTACTTGGTGCAGAGGAATTTTTGTTTCAGGCCATTAAGTTGTTCTGACCAACTAGAACGACATCGTAGTTTTACTTCTAATTTCTCCTTAAAACAAAACCAGATTGAAACAACAGAAAATCCGGATGCAGAGTAAAAGAGAGAGAGAGAGAGATGTTCTTTTCTTTTTTCATGCATACACAACAGAAAATCTTGATTTTGATAAATTATGTATTTAAGTATTTTTACTTTTTCTTTCGTATACTACTTAACTGGTGGTACACATCAAAAGATTATGACAGTTTTAGAAAACTTTCTGTTGTCTATAGGATTCGATTAACCAAACCAGAATATGAGCAAAGAAAAATAGGAAAGACCAATCTCAACGAGGAATCTCTTTGCTCTTTAGTGAAAACGAAGCTTGTTTTTTATTTTACCGTTGAGACCTCACTTTGATGTGGATACCTTTTAGCTTTCTCTTCCATTCAACCAAAATTCCAGACAAAGAAGAAAAGAGACGAACATTCCACAACAGTAGTTTCTTTTTTGGCTAAACACGCAATTACTTGGGAGGTACTTATACAACATTTATATAAAGCATTCTCTTCTTCATTTCCAAATCCAGACATTAAGATTTGGCAATGATGAGACAAAACGAAAAATTGACTGATTAATAATCTCCTGATATCTGCAGACGTCAGAGAACGTGTAGCAACGCCACATTAACAATGCAGTATGACATTTTTCTTGATTTGAAATTTGTATCATAGAAGAAGAAGATCCAAGCCAAGCTAATCCAGTCATATTTTACTTGTGACTCGAAGTTTTCCCAAAATTGTCTAGAACAAAGATTTGTAATATGTAGAATGCAAAAACCTAAATGAGCTCGTTGACTTGTCTTGTGAAGAGCAAGCAAGACAACTCTAGATGAAAAACATATATGTTGTAACAAGAAGCAGCTTCTATGGTAGACATGGGACTCCCAATGTAAGCCATCTTCTCGAGAAAAGACAGAAAAAAACTATAAAGAAAGAAAGTGGAAACTCTACAAATACATTTAATCCTTTAGGTGATCTTTGATTACAAATTCTATTTGCGCATTAGGTGATCTGGTTAGGATGAACAACTTGCATGAAGCTCATAGCTACAACAAAACACCTGAATATCAAGGGCACACTAGCATCATCTCTGAATCTGTCTGCTTGTCAAGAAAAAGTTGTCGACATTATTACAAAATAAAAGATCAAAGCTTTACAGCAAAAGTTGTTAGAAAGAAAAACAATGTGAGTGTACTCCAGAAACAATCCATATCTTCCACCAAAGTTGTGATTTGAGAGCAAAAAAAGAAGAAGAAAAAAAAACAATAATACTTATTTCCTTAATCACCCGTAGAGAAACAAGATGAATGGAAGCTTCAACTTGCTAACCACAACGAAAAAAATAATCAGAAAACACTTTACCAAAAAGAAAAATAATTGAAACAGATGATCAAGATGAAGAAGAAGATGGTGATGATGTACACAAACGCAATCAAAAGTGTTTTTCTTTTCTAAGCTGCGTATTCGGTTTCAAGCATGGGTTGTGTACGAGTCGTAGAAGCAGTTGGTGCTCTAGTCTCTCCGACCTGAGTCATCCTCAGAGCTTCCCCTGTCTCACCAGCTTTCTCCATCTCCTTCATTTTCTCCTGCTTCTTGTAATTCCGACACCGCAAAACCAGAAACAGCAAAAGCCCCAAAAGTATCAATCCGCCAACCACTGACCCAACGATGATCCAAGTCCTGGAATTGGACTCAGAGCTCTTCTTCTTCTCCTTCCCTTTCTCAGTCGCCGGAGGAGGAGCTGGAGACGGAGCAGAGGCCACAGATTTCACAACAACTGAGAAATGTCCCTGACGCTCTGTCTCGCATGTGTTTCCAGGCTGAATCGAATCGCTGAAACTCGGTTTACCTTGTGAATCGAAGCTAACGCACTTAGCACTAGACCCTTGTGGGATTGGTTCCAGATCAGAGAAATCGATTCTGATGGGATCTTTTGATACCCTCAAATCCAGCTCAGGCAAATTAATCGCGGAGAGATTCTTAGCGTCGTAAGCGAGAAGACCCAACACAGGGGCCACATAGTCGTAACCAGACAAAGGGTAATACAAGTGAGAGAAATTGGCTAGGTTTTGATAAACAAGGACGAGCCTTGTCACATACGGCTTCACGATTACGCCGCTCGGGATTGAGAACTCGTTCAAGGAGGAGACTCCTCGTTTTCTCAAGCTTCCGCTTCTGAGTCTCATGGCTGCAACTTTGATACCAGTCAAATTGGAAGGGACGGTGCCTTGGTAGAGAATGCCGGTTCGAGGACGAACAAAGGCTCTGTAAGAGTAATCTTGGAGAAGGGCGTCGAGAGAGGAAGAAGAATAAGAAGTCGCATTGGTCGGAGGAGATTGAGCAGAGAGTTTTTGAAGACGATGAGAGCAGAGAGAGAGAAGCAGAAGCACCTGGAGACCACAGAGAAACCCCATTGTTGGTAGTCTTCTTCTTCTTCTTCTTCGCCTCTGGAGTAAAAATCCCCAGGGCGAGTCAAAGCCGTGAGACTCAGTATGAAGTCGCCGTCACGTCTGTATGTGTGAAGACTTCACAAAGGGCTAAAATAATTATTAAAAAAAATGTTAGCTTTCAAGCAAAAAGAGAGAATTGAGGAGAGAAGAAACAAATCGAGGAGTGAGGGTTTGCAGCAGTGGGAAACGGAGGAGAGAGGATTAATGGTCGCCGGTGGAAAAGAGAGAGAAGAATAGAGAGAGAGAGAGCCAAAAGGACAAAAAGGAGAAGAAGAGTGTTGTCGTCAGTCCCATTTGTTCACAAAATTATACAGCCTGTTCATCTGATTTTTCTCCTTTCCCATTAAAAACTAAAAATAATTCCATAAAATATGCTTCACATTCATATCCCTTTTTTTTTTTTTTTACTTTTCTTTTCCACCAATCATATTGATACATTGCGGCATTCAATTTCGCCGTAACAGTTGTCCGTCTACCCTATTTGTTATCTGTATCTGTATATCTTTTTTCCATTATAAACTGTATAAAACTACTTTTATACAATTTTCCATTACCCTGTATAATATATATATATAAATCTACTGTCTGACCACGAATCAAATTGATATGGACTTAATGAGTTCTTATCTTCAGCCCATTACAAAATTAGCCCATTACGAGCCTCATGATGAAGTTACTTTGACTTCATAGTGGAAACTGGAAGCAAGTGATCGATATTTCCAAACTATATGCTCAATCGCTCATCTCAGTTAATATTTTGTTCCTGTAGTCCTAGTGTTATCTCCTTGTGTTCTCTACTGTAATCTTAAAAAGTTGAATATTTTTATAAAATCGATTATTAAAACCAAACCCCGTATTTAATACACTAGTTTGACCGATTAGTTATTGCCTTAGTGGGTTTACCATATATGTATGAACTTCCGTTTAAGAAAATATTCAACTTTTTAAGATTACAGTAGTAGAGATTGAACTGTTTATTATGGCCCGTATGTATGTTACTAATTGTATTGTGTGTTGAGTGTTGTAGAGTTTGTTTTGTCGTGAGTTCTTTATGTTGTCCTAATATTTTCAAGATTTGTTTATAACGTAGATCTAGATGTTATTTTAATGATAAACATTTTTCAAATATTACGAATACTGGTAAAAAAAAGGGTGTGCTGAACAAAATATTTGAACGGATTTAAATATTAAAGAAGTTTTAGTTTATTTTGAGTGAAATAAGTAAGGTGTTTTGATTTATTTATCATTAAAAATCTCTGAATTCTCATATAACCTCTATTAAAGAATTTCGAAATCACTAAACTTCACTGTTTAAGATATGTGATATAGCCAACACCAACATCATTTAAATACAAATCAGTCTGAATTGTATATTGATGTTGTTTATGGCAATCGTTTAATCATATAGAGAATACAATTTTGTAAACGTATCTAGCGGAGTACCCAACTCTTACATACCGCATGTTCCAGCAAATTCATGACAAGTAAACTAGAATATTCGTTTACGGGGCTAGAAAATGTTTACTTGAGCCCAAAGCTAAGCCCATTTTAAGCTCACCACGTATCACTAAATTTCTCTTTTTTAAAACCTTCATAATGTGTTAGTTTTAGCTCAACCTACCATACCTCACCACATCACCCTCACGTCTCTGCGAATCTCCATACGACTCTTTGAGCTTTCTCTCTGTTTCTCCGCTGGTAAGCTTCTCCTTTCTCTGTCTCGCACTTCTCAGATCTGTTCCTTTTACCTTTTGATTTCTCATCACCGAGCGGATCTGAATCAGCTATGGGTAGCTCCGGCGACGTTAACTGGAAACTTGAGGACCATCCCAAGCTCCCCAAGGGTAAAACCATTGGCTTAATTGTTCTCGATGGATGGGGTGAATCCGAACCTGATCAATACAATTGCATCCACAAAGCTCCAACTCCTGCCATGGATTCCCTTAAAAACGTATGTTTCGTTTTTTCTTTCTTTTCCCTCCATATTTCTCGATGATTTCTCTAAAATTCCGATAATAGATTTCAACGGTTTGTTTCTCCACAGGGAAAGCCTGATACATGGAGGCTGATCAAAGCCCATGGCACAGCGGTTGGTCTCCCCAGCGAAGATGACATGGGAAACAGTGAAGTTGGGCACAATGCTCTCGGAGCCGGTCGAATCTACGCTCAAGGTGCTAAGCTTGTCGATCTAGCTCTTGAGTCAGGGAAAATCTACGAGGATGAAGGTTTCAAATACATTTCTGAATCTTTCGAGAAAGGCACTGTGCACCTTATCGGACTTTTAAGCGACGGTGGAGTCCACTCCCGCCTCGATCAAGTGCAGGTACCCAATTCTGCTTTTTGCACCTCTAAATTTTGATGTGTTGAAATGTTGGCGTTTTGTTAATTTTAGTTATTTTTTTTTTTGTATGCAGCTGCTGTTAAAGGGTTTCGCAGAACGTGGCGCGAAAAGAATCCGTGTCCATGTTCTTACTGATGGTCGTGATGTTTTGGATGGCTCTAGTGTCGGCTTTGTGGAAACTCTTGAAGCTGACCTCGCTGACTTACGTTCCAAAGGTGTTGATGCTCAGATTGCCTCTGGTGGAGGTCGTATGAATGTCACAATGGACCGTTACGAGGTTAGAATTCATCGTCCTTTAGATATATAGAACCCAGGACCTGTGAGAATTTTTTCTGATTTGGAAATGGATTAGGCGTAGATTTCAGTTTCTGCTTTTGCTCTAATGGAGATTCTGTTTGCCTCTCTTGCAGAATGACTGGAATGTTGTGAAACGAGGGTGGGATGCTCAAGTCCTTGGAGAAGCTCCCCACAAATTCAAAAGTGGTCTTGAAGCAATTAAGACACTGAGGGCCGAGCCTGGTGCCAATGACCAGTATTTGCCTCCCTTTGTCATTGTTGATGACAGCGGAAAGGCTGTGGGTCCAATTGTTGATGGTGACGCAGTTGTCACTTTCAATTTCCGTGCTGATCGAATGGTCATGCATGCAAAGGCCCTCGAATATGAAGATTTTGATAAGTTTGATCGCGTTAGAGTCCCAAAGATACGTTATGCAGGAATGCTCCAATATGATGGAGAGCTAAAGCTTCCAAGCCATTACCTTGTTTCTCCACCACTGATTGATAGGACTTCTGGTGAATATCTTGCACACAATGGCATCCGCACTTTTGCTTGCAGGTTAACATTCACAATCTCTCAAGTCTCAAATATTTATTTCTTCTTTTGTCCATTTGTTTTATTTCCTTTTATTGCTGTTCCTCATTTTTAAGTTTTATACTGTTAAGGACGTAAATAGTTGAGAATTTTTTATTTCTATCCTGGAATCGTAATTGGAAATGAAATTGTGATATACGTCTTGTCTACGTTCTAGTTAGAGGTCTAGTTTATGATATGTCCTAGCTGTTTTTTTTCTTGATGGTGTGTAGAATGAAGAAAATCTCTGATATTGACCCATGCAAAATTTTATTTTACTGAAACAGTGAGACTGTTAAGTTTGGCCATGTAACCTTCTTCTGGAATGGAAACCGCTCTGGATATTTTAACGAAAAGCTGGAAAAGTACGTTGAGATTCCAAGTGATAGTGGAATATCATTCAATGTCCAGCCAAAGATGAAAGCGCTGGAGATTGCCGAGAAAGCAAGGGATGCTATCCTCAGTGGCAAGTTTGACCAGGTAAGGTGTATGATCTGAGCGTATTGTATCAACCCGTTAAACATTCGGTCTCTGAATTTAGTGTGTATGATTTTTTCAGGTGCGTGTTAACCTGCCAAATGGAGACATGGTGGGTCATACGGGTGATATTAAAGCAACTGTTGTTGCCTGTGAAGCTGCTGATGTTGCTGTGAGGGTATGATTTCAGTTAAACCTTTGACATTTGTAATGTGAGTAACTAGTAGTAGTAGCAATAAGACTCACAAGTAGTGCTGCTGGGTCTGCAGATAATCCTCGATGCCATAGAACAGGTGGGAGGGATATATGTTGTGACTGCAGATCACGGAAATGCTGAGGACATGGTTAAAAGGGACAAAGCTGGTAAGCCCGCTCTGGACAAGGAAGGAAACCTTCAGATTCTCACCTCTCACACCCTGAAACCGGTAAGTCTTAGCATATTTGTGCTATGACCAGAAAGAATTTGTAAGTTGCAAATGAGCTTCTTCATAAAGATTAGATTATGTGAAATTGTTTAACATGATGTATGTTGCAGGTGCCAATTGCGATAGGAGGACCTGGTTTGTCAGCAGGAGTTAAGTTCAGACAGGATTTGGAGACACCTGGGCTTGCGAATGTAGCTGCCACAGTGATGAACCTGCATGGATTTGTGGCCCCTGGCGACTATGAGCCGAGTTTGATTGAAGTAGTCGACAAGTAATGATATGGTGTGGATGTTATTCCCTGCAAAAGTCCAACCTGAGCCTCTCTAAACTATTGTTCTGTTCAAGTTACGTATTTCTCGTGCTCTTTAATAAGGCCCGTGATTTTTAACCTTTTAGTTACTCGCCACCCTCACGATGTGGGTCGAGCAAGTTCTCCTTTTTTTTGAACAATGTGGGTCAAGCAAGTTAAAGACTACTTTTGATGTTTTTGTTTCGCCGTAAGATCATTTTTTATTTTAAAACGTATTGAAATACATTAAAGTAAAGGAGTGTAAAGGAGTGTAAGCAATGTTTAACATTCGGACTCATGGGTGAATAATAATATAGAGTAAATAAGAATCTTTTTCATTATAAGAAAATTTATACATAGCGCAACTAAAATAGAAAAGTATCACATATAATTTAAACAGAAAATTATCTGTCGAATAATCGGCCAATCGGAAAAAACGCGCCAATCGAGGAAAAAACCCGCCAATGGGAAAAACTTAATTTTTGCGATTGCTTTCGCAAATTGATCTGACTCGGTATGGTATCATTGTAGGCAAAATAATTCCCACGCTACCCTTCCAAGTTTCCACTAGCTGCCTCAACGATGCCCAAGTGACGTTCCAGATTCCTAGCGCACAAAAAAAGAAGCAATAAGATCTAATGGCTAGCAGAAGAGTCGTAATTATTTCTTCAAGAAATTAATTATAATCAACGGTTATTAAGGAATGATGTTTTCTATCAAGAAGATCCAACGGACATGCATGACTGACCCAAATGCTTGTGTTGCATTTGATTATTACCCATCCACACTGGTCAGTGACGACCGCGAGAGCCTGCGACCCTATTTCTCGAGGCGATAAAAGGGCAACGAATCAATTTCTCTTTTCAAAGCTCGTCTCTTCCATCATCACAGAGATATTTCATCTCTCTTGTTTCGCCTCTCATCTCTCTTGAGAAAAAGGCGGAGTCCCGTCTCCCTCCATTTATTCTTCTCTACCATCGATTGTCTTTGGTAAGACTCATTTCTCTCATATCTGTATCACTTAAAAATCCCGTTGTCTCTCATATGATTGTTATTCTTAGTTTCAATCCATCTGCTTTTATTTTCCTTAGATCTGTAAGGTGAATGAGATTTTCGCAGTCGTAGATTTGTTCGCTCTATTGAGAAATGATGATATATGTTTGCCTCTATTAATATTGGAATGTATACAGCTCCTGGTTGAATCTTTGATGTTTCGGTTCTATATGCGTCTTTTTGTGCGTTGATCTGCTTGATCTATTCTTGGGAATTATTTTTTATTTTTCCCATTCACCTCGGATTAGGAGATTGGTTTGATGGAAAAGATTTATGTGATATGATGCTCTTAAGCTCTGCTAACAATTTTAAAATCTGTTTTTACTCCTGGAGAATCCTAGTTTTATGTATTAGAGCCTTAGTTTTGATATGGCTTTGCTGGTTTACAGCATGATCATATCTGAATTCTCATCAATGGCTTTGTAATTTTGCAGAGTTCAAAATGGTTGATCAAGTTCAGCACCCAACAATCGCGCAGAAATCTGCTGGCCAGTTCCTGCGTTCAAGTGTTTCTAAGGACATCCAAGTGGGTTACCAGAGGCCATCTGTGTACCAACGACATGCAACCTATGGAAACTACTCCAATGCGGCATTTCAATTTCCTCTTAACCCCACCTCACTGATGGCAGCAAATTCTTCTCCTGTGTTTGTCCAAGCTCCAGGAGAGAAAGGGTTCACTAACTTTGCTCTGGATTTTCTGATGGGTGGTGTTTCTGCTGCCGTCTCAAAGACTGCTGCTGCTCCCATTGAGCGTGTTAAGCTTTTGATTCAGAACCAGGACGAGATGATTAAAGCTGGCAGGCTTTCTGAACCCTACAAGGGTATTGGTGACTGTTTCGGCAGGACTGTAAGGGATGAAGGGTTTGGTTCTTTGTGGAGAGGAAACACCGCCAATGTCATCCGTTACTTCCCCACTCAGGTTGGTTGAGTTTCACACTCTCTTTGTTTTACCCCTTTCTAAACAAAACGATCTTGTGCTAATCTTCTTTTCTTTTCTTCCATGATAGGCCTTGAACTTTGCATTCAAAGATTACTTCAAAAGGCTTTTCAACTTTAAGAAAGACAAGGATGGCTACTGGAAGTGGTTTGCTGGTAACTTGGCATCTGGAGGAGCTGCTGGTGCTTCTTCCCTTCTCTTTGTGTATTCCCTTGACTATGCCCGTACCCGTTTAGCCAATGATGCCAAGGCTGCAAAGAAAGGTGGTGGTGGCAGACAGTTCGATGGTCTTGTGGATGTCTACAGAAAGACACTCAAGTCTGATGGTATTGCTGGTCTTTACCGTGGGTTCAACATCTCCTGTGTCGGTATCATTGTCTACCGTGGTCTCTACTTTGGACTCTATGACTCTGTGAAGCCTGTCCTCCTCACCGGAGACTTACAGGTTCGTCGTGCTCTTTCTCTCTCTGATCCGTGTGTTCTCTTACCTATTGCTGGTTGATATTGAGATGTTGTGTTTGTTCTCTTTGGGTCATTTCAGGACAGTTTCTTTGCTAGTTTCGCGCTTGGATGGGTCATTACTAACGGTGCGGGTCTTGCATCCTACCCGATTGACACAGTCCGCAGAAGAATGATGATGACATCAGGTGAAGCTGTCAAGTACAAGAGTTCGATGGATGCCTTCACTCAGATCCTCAAGAACGAAGGAGCCAAGTCACTCTTTAAGGGAGCTGGTGCCAACATTCTGCGTGCCGTTGCAGGTGCTGGTGTGCTTTCCGGTTACGACAAATTGCAGCTGCTTGTGTTCGGTAAGAAGTACGGATCAGGTGGTGCCTAAGCATCGGGTCCCTTTCTTTCTTCTTTTCCGATCATAATTGCGGTTTAAGACTCGCAAGAAATTGAGAGATGTTGATGAATTTTTTGGCTTGAGACTTAGGGCAGGCACGAGCCCTAAACCAATTTTTTGTATTCTTCTGACGCCAACTTTTTCCTTTCTTTCTGATTGAATAATTCATGGTTAAGTGAGTCGTTTGACTCTTTGAATTAAAAGAATTTTGGATTAATTGAGTTTTTTATTATGGTTTTCCCTTTTTGAACACCACTTGATTTATATACACTAGAATATACTATCTGATTTTGTTTACATGACTAGTGTAAACTTTTATATATAAATCGACTTAAAAAATGGCTAGCTTTTAATGTTTTTATTTCAAAAACTCAAATCAGAAAACAATTTTTTAAATCTCTTAAAAAATATGTGTTGTGTTTTTCCATGAAATGATACATTCGAGAACGATAAAATTAAAAAATATGGAATTATATATATATATTTACAGTTCTCACTATTTCTCACCGTTTATTCGTGGTTTCTCACATATAGACCATGATTCTGAACAAATTGTCCTTCTATTATGGGAAAAGCCATCTCCAAAACCATTCACTTCCGTGAAATGAGGTCATTGCGAATACATATTTTCACACTGAAATTAAGACTGAAATATATAAACTGAAATTAATACTTTGAAATATCAAGTCAAAACAAGTATACATATTTCCACATAATCAACTCCAAATTTGGAAAAATATTACAAAAAAAATCATACAAACCCGCTTTCTTCTGATCATCTGTAACACCAATGAGATGAGAGAACGAATGTCTCTCTCTCCGTATTAAAGTTGATCACCCACTTGCCCTCCTAAAGCTACACAGCACTAGCTTAGCATCGAGTATTAATATCACTCAGTAAGGAGGAGGAAGCGAAGGCATCAGCTCGATGCTTAAAACCTGTTAATCATCTGTGACAAGTCTAGCGTGTTCCATCCCAGGAGGCGATAAAGGAGGGATGGCTGATTCAGTCCCAAGAAGATGCCTTGCAGAGATGCCCTGAGACTCCTTTTCCTTTGATGGAAGGGATCCAGATGCTGTAGATCTGGATGAGTTGCTTTTGTGCATTGATGCTAGGAACTTTTTCTTTGAAAGATTTGTTGAAGCTGATGAGACAACCGAGCTGAAAACACCAGACTCTTTCAATGCTTGTATAACAACCTGCATTTACGACCAAAAGTAGATAACTTTTTACACTTGACTTGCAAGAACTCACATTTCAGAACTTTGTCTTTGGAAATTTGTGTAATGAGTTGATGAGTATTTTCTTACCATTGGCGAATAAATGCGTGTCAGAATACCCTTCCTAAGGAGTTTCATCTTCACCTCTTTGTCTCCCCACACAACGTGTTCACGGTACCTACATAGGATACATTACTCTTGTATCAAGACCAGTTTTTTTGTTCAACGTGTTCACAGAGTGTCAAAAAGTTATCCGTCACACAAGTGTTAAAGAAGGAATGCAATTTTGCAGCTAAGGTTCTTACCAGCTTAACATTTCTTCTTCAGTTGCGGTTGACGCAATTATAAATGCCTACAACGTTCATCATCCAGACGGCATCATAAAATAGTAAGTGGAATTGAAACACATATATATTTTAAGAGACGATGCTTACAGATCTATCAAAATCCAACATAAAGCATCTTTTCACGTCTTCTTTTGTAGGCTTGCAGCCACATCGATCACGTCTAGATGTTAAGTCTGAAAATTTCGCATATGTGTAGTGTAAGACAGCGGCCTCCTCCAGTTTGATCTCACTACCAAGAATTAACAGGTTAGTATTTCCAAAACGTGATTTGGCTTTCATTAAAAAAAAAAAAAAAAATCAACTGAGCTGTGAGCCGTAACTACACTCCAATGCAAACTATACTAGTTACATGATTCATACAGTAAACTAACAAAAAAAAAGAAATCTCTTATCATGTTCCTCATCAACTGATAGAAATTTTACTTATGTTTGAATATATGATATACATACTTGGGAGTTTTCATGTAATTATGCCATCGGTGTGCTCCATTTGGTCGGAGGTGATCTTGAATCCGCGCAACTGATTTGCCATTACCATAAGTCAAGAAGTAATTTGGATTGTTTCGTGTTGCTTCTTTGTACATTCCAAAATATGTATCTTTTGGAAGATGATCGTAATTCTTCTTGAACATTGACACCTGCTTGCATCAAACATATCTCAGAAGTAGTACGAACATAACAAACAAAAAAAATGGTGACACTACAGGTCTTCAATTTAATTTCCTGTCTGAGGTAAAAAGAGACACAAACTGACTTATACCTCTGTAAAAGGATCTTTGACATCATCTCGTTCTACGCTGCTTTCCTGAAGAACAAAATTAAAAACAAACTATTCATACCCGAGCCCAGATCATATAAAGAACTCTAAGACCCACAAAACTAGGCGCAAATAAGCGATGAAATAAATGTGAATCACATGTCACTCACATAATTTGGAAATATAACCATATCTACATTTGGAGGAACATCAAGAAGCAACCGTCTCAACGAGTACTCGCGAGCACCTGCTGGGTATATTAACTCATCTGTATCAAGATGAAGTATCCAATCCATTCCCGAATCCTGATATTTAGTAAGAACAAACAAAAAGTAAATTATAACATAAGACATGAACAAAAATCAACCAAAGAAGGTCAATATATATGCTTACCCTTGCCATGACAATCGCCATTTCCATGTTGAGAGATTGTTTGACAAACAACTCATAATTGCAGGGCTTATAAAAGAAAGAAGATAGCCACGTCTCATTCCAAATCCGGCTGATGAAAAAGGAAAGACACTAAATTGATTAGTAGTAGACGATACAACAATGCTACAATTCTCAGAACAAACAAAGCCAAAACATGTACTATTAGCGCCTTCCAGGGCAAAAGATATGCAGCAGATATGCAAAGGCATAGTTTCTGACCTCTTTGCCTGCTTCTCCTCCAGCTCTTTTGTCCTGTATATTACCTTAACCCCCTGGAAGAGACAGCGGACTACGTTTATGGAGAATAATTTGCCTCAAACACATTTGATGTAAAGAGCTAGAGGTATACAAGCTACAAATAAGTAATGGAACCGGAGAGATATAGTTAAACTCACAGGTATAGACTCCAGCACTTTTGAAATGCTCGGCGTAGCAGCTTTTCCTTCTACGAAAAGGAAAAATGTAGAGACGCCTAGGACCTTATGGTAGAACATCCACGGTAGAATCTGGTCCAATCCGGCTGATGTGCTAGTCGTGATACATATCTGTAATTACAAGATAAGAGTTGCAATGCACGAATCATAAAAGTAAGAACTTTACAAAGACAGATCTGATCAATTATCAAGTTTACAGATTTCGAAAAATCTCTATGATCCAGCTAAAAAAAAGGTATTTGACTACAAAAGGCAAGAGCCCATTCTCAAGATCAGTAATTAGAGTAGGTTTTGAAGAAAAAAATAGAAATTCGAAGTCAAGATCGATCCAAAAACCTTAAAAATCAGAGTATATGACGATTACCTTGGGCTTTAAACTAGTATCAACACCGAATTTCCAATCACCATAGTAAGGGAATGAAGGGGAAGAGCTTTGAGCTAGATTTGAGCAGTCGGAGGAGGATTGGTGAGCTTTTGGGGAGACGGATGAAACAGTCTCCATGCCGGGAAACACCTCGTGGTTGAGATCGGAGCCGCCAGGAACCGACGTAGAGGAACCAACAGAAGCAGAGGCAGGATCGGCAAGCCCACCGCCTCGCCATTGGAGGATAAAGGCGAGACAGGCAAGGGAAACCGGAAGTAAAGTCAGGAGAAGAAGAAGCCTAGAGATAAAAGAGTGGCTTGGGGAAGAAGAGGAAGATGATGAAGAAGCAGAAATTAGTGGAGCTCTGTGGTGGTGCATCGATTTCATGGCGAGCTCGGCGAATTTGAAAAAAAAAGAAAATTGATTAGAAGGAGGAAGGTGTCTTGATTCTGAGATCTAATCTATAAATTGAACCCTATTTTATCGAATCATCTCCTCTCTTAATTTGAGTTTTATGTTTAAAAATTGGGGAGATTTTCTTCCTTCTTACTACTTTCCTATGTTGTCCACGAGAGACAAGCTTTAAGAACACCAATTAAAACGGTTTCGTCGCTTCTACGCTTTTGTGAAAAAACATGAGAGAATGTTCAATTCCGATAAACCGGAAACCCAATTGATTCAGACTCAAACTAAAGGGGTGTTATTGGAGAGTTGATTTATAAAAAATTTTAAAGTTTAAGATTCTATAGTTATTGGTTTGTGGATTTTTACATTCTCAATAGATTCCTCTGTTATTTATTTAGAGATTATAAAAATCAGTTGTTATTGATATGATGATTTTTATAATCTAATCAAAATCCATTGTTATTCAAAAAGTCTGCATTTTAATGATTCTATGATTCTGTTATAATCTAGTGTTATTGGCATAATGATTCTTTATAATTTAATTCATAAATCATAATTCTCAAAATACTACCTATATCCTTTGAATTCTCAAAATCTATCATATTAAAAAATTCTTAATAGATTACTCTCTCTAAATTTTATAAATCCAACAAAACTCTTAAAAATTTGACAAATCTCATGATTTTAAAAATCAATTAAAATCTTCATAAATCTAAATCCCAATAACTCCTCTTCAAAAAAATTACTATGTTCTTGTCTTAGATTCGAATACCCCAAAGACCGAGTTACTTAAACCGGAAACTATATTAAATTTCATCAAACCGAAAACGTTTTTTGTTTTTCCGAACCAAATCAGTTTCTTTCGCATGTAGTAAGGGAAAGTCAGGAACCCAAGAGTATTTAGCGCGCATACGAAGTAACAAACCCTAATCCTCGTTCATTATATATTATCTACGTATAGAGACAGAAAATAGGAAAGTTAAAAACTTTTGTTTAGCTTGAGAAAGGATGACGAGAATGTCCGATCTCCCAGTAGCTTTGGTGGAGGAGATATTTTTCAAGGTTCCATTAACATCTCTGAGTGCAGTGCGATCCACTTGTAAAACATGGAACGTTTTATCAAAAAATCAGATTGTTGGCAAAACAAGGGATTAGTTTCTAGGGTTCATGGTGATAGACTCTCGGGCTTATTCAATGAAATTCCAAAACGACGGGGACTCGGCTGATTTATCTATAGAGAAAGTAAGAATACTTAACGAAGCACTGCGACGGCTTGTTGTTATGCCTCATCAGAGACGACATGTGGCGCGTGGTGTGGAACCCGTATTTAGGTGAAACCAGGTGGATCCGACCCATACACAAATACCACAGATTCCAAAGATCAGACATACTTGCTCTAGTATGTCTCGGATACGGCAAAAACAAGATGACTGCTAGAATTTTTTTTTTTCTTTTTTTTTCCTTTTTGGCTATTTATCATCTAATACATAATGCATGAGTTCGTGTTGAAGTAGAGAGTTGCGATCATCAATGTGTTTCCATGAAATTTTGCAATTAATCGTGATTAGAAGAGAGTGTTACTTTGATGGTTGACGTGTAATATGTTTCTTGAAGCAGTAAACATTGTAAACAAGGGATCTTACTTCTAATTAGACCTTAATCAATAAGTTTTCATGGTAGAGATACTTAAACTATGATCTCTTTAACTCCTTTTCACGAGTTAATCGCATAAAACAAATCACCGGTGGAAGCTTTTATTACCGCTTCCGCACACTTGACCAGAATCGAGAATACAAGTTTTAGCCATCCCTTAGTCGCTCATAGTCACAAGTCCCATCCATTTCGGAATGTTTCAAGTATACGGATAGACTCCTCAATAAGAACAATCCTTAAGCATCTGCAATTATGTAGCTATAAGTTAATTTATGAATAATGTAAATTAATCACACTTATAATTAGCAAAAGCGCATCGTACAGCACTACCGCTCAACTTTCCTTCCCACCTTATGTTTATAGACGCGTGACTCCGATTGGATCGCTGCTCCTCATTACTTACACATATATATACAAGGAATCTACCTTTTTCTTGTTTTTTTTTTGTTTTTCCTGTTTTCTCCCTTTCTCCTTCCATCACATTTTCTCGTTCACTTGCTTCAGATCTGGCAGCGATTTCAATTCCTTCTCCACACTCTCTCTCTCGTCTCTCTCTTGGCCGTTGACGGTCTCGTCCCGGCCTTGGATCTGATTCTCTTGCCGCGATCTGAGGTCAATCATGGCGGCAGCAAACGCCCCCATCACGATGAAGGAGGTCCTGACGGTGAGTTCTTCTTCTCGTGGAATCGAGCTTGATTCTGGACCTTAGATGATGTTTTCGCAGCTCTACTCCCTCATTTCTGATGATTTAGCTCGACTCCGACTGTTGTTTGCTTGATTCCAGTTTCAAACTGTTCCGAATTCTGCTCGATCGTTGCGTTACTCTCTTAGTTTTTCCGGATGGCTAGTTTGTGCAATGCTTGTTTTCGATCAGATTTCTCTCAATATGCTCAGATCTGTTATACGATCCCGAATTTCAAATTATTGGATCCGATCTCATATAATCTAAGTAAATGAGCTATGTGAAATAACGCTTGGCTTTGATTTTCTTTTTTGTTCCAGCTTCCTAGCATTGGGATCAATCAGCAATTCATTACGTTTACAAATGTTACAATGGAGTCTGACAAGTATATATGTGTACGAGAGACGGCACCACAGAACAGTGTTGTAATTATAGATATGAATATGCCGATGCAGCCTCTAAGGAGGCCTATTACTGCAGATTCTGCCCTTATGAACCCAAACTCCAGGATCCTTGCCTTAAAAGGTATTTGGCTGTTTCTTCTGTTGGAAAATCTTGCGTTGTGTTATCAGTTATATGACCCAGAATAGTTTCCTTATGTTGGTAACTCCCTTGTTTTGTTAACCGCATATGCTATCTATTTCGTATATCAACTTTTATTCATGCCTTCAGATTGGATAAAACCATAAAACCACATGATTTACAAGTTTAAACAACTCGGCCTTAATTTTCGTAGCAGTATCTGTACCTGTTGTAATGAGTCACTTATAAAAGGTCTATGATGTTAGTTAAGTACGGAAAGGTAACTACACTCATCGAGCTTATTGTCAGTCCAATGGCATACAAACCATTTACAAGGTTTATTCTAACATATGTTATTTTTCCCATGGTTGTTGTGTCTAAGCCTTGTGTAGTTAGACCAGAAATGTTTCCGTACATTGGCTTCCCTATTTCTTCCTTACGTTGTTGTTCACATTTTTTCCTCATTTTGTATGTAGCTCAAGTTCCAGGAACTACTCAGGATCATCTACAGATATTTAACATTGAAGCAAAAGCAAAGTTGAAATCTCATCAGATGCCTGAACAGGTGAGTGTTGATGCAAAAAAAAATTGTTTCCCCATTTTCATTTCTGTTGTACACATTATTCAGACGCTGATTTTTGCCGTCCGGGTTTATCTCTGGGATATTAATCTTCCATTTTAATAGGTTGCCTTTTGGAAGTGGATTACACCAAAGATGTTGGGGCTGGTCACACAAAATTCCGTGTATCATTGGTCGATTGAAGGTTTTTATCTTTAGCTTATTGTCATCTTCTTCTTTTCATGTATATGTGATTCTATTTTTGCTTCAATATTTTTCAGGTGATTCTGAGCCAGTTAAGATGTTTGATAGAACGGCCAATTTGGCAAACAATCAAATTATAAACTACAAGTGCTCTCCTAATGAGAAGTGGCTGGTTTTAATTGGAATTGCTCCTGGCTCTCCTGAGGTAGGTTTACCTCGCCGCATACTAAGTTAAATAAAGACATAAAAACTGCAGTCATGTTGTAAATTTTTGACTGATCTTGTCATTGTTATCTTCTGTAGAGAGCACAATTGGTCAAAGGAAATATGCAGCTTTTTTCTGTGGATCAACAGCGGAGCCAGGCCCTGGAAGCACATGCTGCGTCATTTGCTCAGTTTAAGGTAAACTACTTGGTTCTTTGGTGAGTTCATTCTATGGTTGAATTTTGAACTATGGTATGACTTGCAACATTATTAAATATTAGGTCCCTGGGAACGAGAATCCTTCTATTCTTATATCCTTTGCAAGCAAGAGCTTTAATGCTGGGCAGATAACATCGAAGTTGCATGTCATTGAGCTTGGTGCCCAACCTGGTTAGCATCCTCAGCAGAAAACTATATTGTCACCGTTAATTAGTGTCTTTGGTTACATGTTTAGTTCGTATTCTTCAGATCTCTAAATGTGAGTGATTCGTTTGCAGGAAAACCATCATTTACAAAAAAGCAGGCAGATCTCTTTTTTCCCCCAGATTTTGCTGATGATTTTCCTGTTGCCATGCAGGTTTGTAGTTTCCTTAGAATGTTAATTACATTTAGTAAGTTTTGTGAAAAATTTCTTGATACTGAATTCTCTTTTTCCTGACAGGTCTCTCACAAATTTGGCTTAATATATGTCATCACCAAGCTTGGTTTGTTGTTTGTATACGATCTAGAGACTGCTTCTGCGGTCTACAGAAATCGTATAAGTCCAGACCCAATTTTCTTGACTTCTGAAGCTTCCTCAGTTGGGGGTTTCTATGCCATTAATAGGAGAGGACAAGTTCTTTTGGCTACAGTAAACGAGGCTACCATCATACCTTTTATTAGTGGTCAAGTATGTTCAATTTTTATTCAGTTTTCTCGATATAAGCTACCCGTCTCATCATGTCATGCTAAGAAATATATGCTGTTCACAGTTGAACAATTTGGAGCTTGCTGTCAATCTTGCCAAAAGAGGAAACCTCCCTGGTGCAGAAAATCTGGTAGGCAATGTTTATCTTGGATCTGTTATCTTGCTGAAGTAATTATCGCTAAGGAATGCCAGCTTGAAGAAAAGAAAGTCATCCTGGTAGATATGAAGTTTTTAATATTCAGTTCGGATTCTACAGGTTGTTCAGCGATTCCAAGAGCTGTTCGCTCAAACAAAGTACAAGGAGGCTGCTGAGCTTGCTGCTGAATCTCCTCAAGGAATTCTAAGGACACCTGATACGGTGGCTAAATTCCAGGTGTTTATTCCTTATTCAAGCAACTAATTTTGTGTGAATATGTTTATCTATTGGTT